TCAAATATAAGATTGAAAGAATATTTTATGGCATGTCTAATCTGGTTTTTACGTCGGAAGATTTGTCCCACTGAATTATTCTACTAGCTTATCTCCCCTTCGTTTAAAACTTCGCCCCTAGAACCAGACATACCGAATAGAGAAAAATCTATTTCAACTGGATAAATTCAATATTCTAGCGATAGGGATCAGAACACCGATATATAAAAAATTCTGTGCTTGATATGGTATTTACTTCCAACACATATAATGATGATAACCGTCTCTTTGTAGTAGTAATAAAAGTGGGGTTGAAAGGTACATTACGGCCACCAATAGTAGCAAAACAACAATGACGTGTAATCTTAAGCAGATAGGATTGGTGTGATTGCTGTTGAGGAAGTAGTAATTAGTAGTCACGTTTGGTTTAAGTGGTCATGTATATATATTGATATATTGGTATATTATTGGTAATGGTATGACCAACAGAGGGACACAGCATTATTTTTGTATGTATGTGATTACATGTCCTTTTCATTTGATTGTTTTTACACTGCATGTTCAGAAATTAACAAATTAGTTGTACATTTTCAAGGTTCCCCTTGTGAATTCTGTTCAAAGTTTGACCTCCTATCTGAATATGTTGGTATTATCCTATTGCTTTAGTTTGGTACCTTATCGTCATTAGTGTAGTCATAGTCACAGATTTTACAAAAACAAGTTGTTTCATTTAATGTGATATAGCAGTCAGTGTCTAGTCCTGATTAGCCATTCCAGCTTGACGATTTATCCCTTAAAAACGCATAACAGTATTAACCCGACTTTATGTGGGATCAATTGCTTAACCTCGGTGTGAAAACAAGCTGGATGTTTACGGACAGTGACTTTGATGTTTTCGATTTTGGGCACTAACTGACGACTACAAACACATTCCATATTTTGATGGTATTTAACTCTTTTTGAAAGCAAAAATACATTAGATATTATCAGAAATCTTTTTTGTGACTATAAAAAGCAAACTTCCTACATATATGTATTACAATGAAACGTTGTAAATTACTACCGATGAAGGGAAGGTGTGAACGACACACTTACTATAGTATTGAACAAAGTATTGATACTATTGTATTGAAGTATTCAAATAATCGAGTCAAGTATACAACGACCTCTGTGATTGGTCGGGGGCGGAGTTTAGACAACCTGAATAGTTGATCTGACACCCAATTTGTTCCGGTAGGCGGAGTTAATGTACACTATCAGTTACATAACAAGTACTAAGTAATCGACATTTTCTTCGACGAAATTATGTCCGATACGAACGATATGGGGAATCCTGTTTTTGTACAAGGCGATGTGGTTGTGATGGATAATTGTGGATTCCATCACCATAGACAGGGAGAGCGCATTTTAAGAAATATGCTGAAAGAATATGGCGTGTCCCTGGTTTTTCAAAATACAACGTAACTGAATATGTATTCAATGTCATGAGACAGAGGCTTCGGGCAAATATACCCGACTTGTGTCAGAATTTCTGGAACTTGCAGTAGTAAATGCTCTAGATATTCCGCCCAACCAACTTCAAAGTTTTTTCACATGTTGCGGATATGTATAATTTTCGATGGAAAGATAAAAAATAAAATAAAAAATATATGGGACCACAGAATTCCTTTATTTTTTAATGCAGTATGAATTATCGGCATATATCAGGAGGTCCCAGGTAATTCGTAATTCTTTGTTACATATAATAGAGCTTGGGCTTACACCGAAATATTTTGAGCCAACCCTCCCCCCCCCCCTTTCAAAAAAATAAATAAATAAATAAAACTAGTACAGAATGACTATGTGACTACATTCACTGTTAAGATGTTATGAATTCTCCGGTCCCAGTGATCTAACCTGTTGATATATATTTTGTACGTAAATTAAGTACTGAGTAACTTTCGTTTTCTCGTTGTACCATCGATGGAAAAGCAAAGTATCATTGGGTGTAGAACAAACAAATGGGACAACCCAATTAGGTCTGATCTGAAGCCACCTATGACTTGGACTCTTCCAATTAACCTCTCGCGACAGTCGAGTGTTTGTAAAATGCCGATGTCTGCACAGTATTTTTTCACCTGGCTCCACCCACAATCGATCTAGACTTGGCTCTGCCAATCAGAGAGCTTGTTGCATAAATTTAAGGAATTCGATTGGTGAAGTACTTCAATACAATACTATCAATACTTTGTTCAGTACTACAGTACTTGAAACGTTCACACCTTCCCTTCATCGGTAGTAAAAACATTTAAACACAATTATCTACTTATCACATCCTAGAAATAACTGATATACTATCGAAATGAGAAAAGATTCTAAGCTTCTGTACAGGTAATGACACAAATTAATTTATTCATTTATAAACACGTCAGTCGATATATTTAACAGTTCAGCCCATGTGTGTTGAAGCAATTAAGATTGCAGAAACGTTACCAAGCTACTGACGACAATAAATCTTGTTGTAAGCCTCTTAAGTTGGCTGCCAAAGTCATTGAAACATGTTACAGTGTAGGCCTTTCCCATATAAAAGCCGCATAAATGTTTCAATACCGTTTACATTTCTGAAGGTCATTACGTAACCCTTACCTCAAATCCTCTTACAGAGTGGTCTCGGTCAATATATTCAGTTATCTCGACAGTTTAAGACAATGATTCATGTGTGCAGACGGAAGGCAGTTGAAACGTTTATTATAGTTTTATATCATTCATTGGCATTTAAATATTAATCTAACATTGTAGATACTCTTTAATAGTGCTGTTTATTATAGAAAAATATATATAGTTCTTGAATATTGAAGTAATATAGATAGATAATCTTATCAATGGTTTGAAAATATACAATTAACCTACATACTAATTACCTGAGGCGTCTTGTCGACATCAGACACGAAGATGATTATTTTATTTCAGTTGAACTTTTTTCTCATTTAATCACTAATATATAATTCCATTTTAATTCCATTTTCATTTAATAACAAATATTTTGTTGGTTGGTATAAGATAGTATGTCTGACTAATACCAATTGAAGATGTCTCTCCATGAGATGGGTGAACAGTCACGTATTTTTAGTGATATTTCTAATACCTGGTATGTTTTCTTCAATTCTTGGTTATAAACAAACACGATAATATCTAATTAACATTAAACCAGTTGAAGAAGATCAATTATGGAATGATGAATTAGGACCATACACAGCTGGAAATGGCCTTGGCGATATCAAGAACTTTGAAACCTTTTTATAGGATAATTCGGGTATTAAACATAAACAGTAAAGTATGTAATGTTTACAGGTAAACACACATTTAATCTCGGGAAGATCATATTTGAGATTACAAGCAGCGCATTAGCGGTCGTTAATACTTTTTACAGATGCTGTTTTAGTTCGTTCTCAATATTAAAGTGGTCGACTTTACCAGCTTAATGATACAACAAGTAACTTAGTTATGTAAATCATAAAAGGAAATGTAAAAAGTTTTCACTTTTATAAAGAATACATATAGTTTTATTTAACATTGATTTATCTCTATGTTATACACTCATATTGTCGTTGCCATTTTGCTGGCGTCTCAGTTTTTTGTTGTGATTTCTTAAACATCAGGACATCATAAGCCTCGTTATCAACACAGCTATTTTACAATAGATCAGCAAAAAGATATTAATCACTACACAGCATGATTTTGGACTGAAGATGACCAGACCAATTACAAGAACAATCTAAAACAATTTAGTAGTTTGTGCAGACAGCTGTGGCAAAATGTTTTTGTGATTCAACAAATGAAATGTGTTACTATAGAATTAGGACAGTCAATATGTTTACATTACGTGTTTACCCCGTTATATATTGTAATATCGATGAGCATGTCTGATAAGTGTTGTTTATACTGAGTTCTGATATGCTGCTCATGCTTTTCCCAGATCTAGGTTGATGATTTCTACTGATATCAACTTAATCTATACTTAGCTCATGCACGATTTGTTGTTATCGGTTTGAGAGAAGTGGAGTATATCCATTGATAGGGCTGTATAAGATGGAAACACCCAAACATTAACATACATTAGTTAGACTATAGATTCTAGGGTGCAGATGTAACTAGAGGCGTCTTTAATCTGCCTGCTCCGTATTTTATAGTATAAAGGTAAGAGATGGCGTCCTCACTTCCAGAGTTTCAATCCGATCTCTTCTTAAGTTTCTCATTTGAAATGAAACGGAATCTAACAGACGAGGGTCTAGAATAACACACAGAGATAATTTACCGAGATATGAAAAAAGGTTACAGCCACCTGTATCATTAGGACTCTCGAGGCATGATGGTTAAGATACATACCATTTAGGTACATATTCTACCAATTTCATCATTCAATTACCAACCACGAAGACAAAGATCGATGGTTGATCTTGATCATCATCTATGAAAAAATATTAATACCGTTTATGCGAATGTATATGGTACCCCTAACTGGATTGGTAGTTTGTAATGTCAAGACATGGAGTAATCCGGATTTTACCTATAATGTTTATGACGTCTGGTATCAAGGATAGCGAATGTCATGTTTATGAAGATATATTACATACAGTTGCCTAAACTTCTACTGGAAAATGCAATCGAGATGATGATTTAATTATGAAGGAATAATGTGTGCTCTTTGTGTTCATGAATTTCAGTTTTACCTGTTGGTTCAGTGTTATTTTGTATTTTCTCTTTTTTCTTCATTAGACTCTGATAAAGGTAATTCTATTTTTACATTCAAACAGCATCCATAGTGTACCTCTGTCTATCATGTAGTACTCACTTGTCGATATTAGAGGTCAGAGAAAGGTTACACTTTAACGTGACTGTTTCAATACCACCCATATTGTTTCTTGTTGGCACGAGGTCAGAGCTGGCATGACTAAAAATAACTTCTATACAGTACTATAGAAATAACATGATAACAACACTATAACATTGTTTTATTTGTTTTTTATCGATTGTTTTTGTAGCTCTAGTGGTGCGTTTTCTAACCGGAAGATTTCTAACTGAGTATGCGCAATGCGATGAAATGGCTTACGAAAGAAGTATCACACTGGATGACAAGCAAGTTTCGCTCAAGGTCATAGACGTTGGTGGCAAGGTCAGTGTAGGGACTATATATTTATATACATATGCTTCTTCCGAGGACGGTACTCTTAAAATTCGGATGCATTAAAAGGGATGAATTGATGACAGTCGCATTATGTAAAATAAACTCTTTACAGTCATCAATACTTTATAAATGCTAAAAAGACGCGACAGCTATATGATGCAGTTTTATTCATTATATGTCTATACTGTTAATTTGTGTCTTTTGAACACGAACAATGTAAGAAGTTAATGTTATATCCAATTTAATAGACTGTTTTATAATAACAGAGCATAGCCAAAAAGTCGAGTTCCAAGGAAAGTCTTCAAAAGATAGATGGCGCTGTTGTAGTTTACTCCATCACCGATCGGCAGAGTTTTAGCGTTGCTGAATCCATTGTTGATTGGTTGAGAAAAGAACGTAGTTCATGCATTCCATTATTGTTGCTAGGCAACAAATCCGACCTCGACCACTCACGGTAAGACAGCAATTACATGTACTTTTAAAAGAAGCGTTTTAATTTCAATATACAAACTGTTGTGCGGAGTATACGTAGGAGAGAAATACGGTATTTCTAACTGTCTGAGTGTTTTTAACAAACTTATACATGTGCTGAAATATGAATACATTTGATTTTATGTAACTGCGTCATCCAGTTAGGGCAAATTTGTTCAGTATGGCAGAAAGGTAACATAACACTTTAAAAATCGTCTGTTGAATAGTTTTGTTAAGATGTTTTCTGGTGGTAGCATTATGATCATGTGTACATATTCCAAGATGATTCTAATTGGCTGAAGTCTTTACTCTTACATCTCAAGACCTTAACTGTTTAACCTTGAGTTAACAATACTTCACAAATCTTAACTTAACTCATTTTTCACTCTCCAATAAATATAGAAATAACTTTCGTCCTCATAAATTACCTATATACTCAATTTCAAGGGAAGCAGAAAGATATAACGACGTACATACTTAATTGGACACTGCTACGGACACCTAACATTATGACGTCCTTTTTTGTTTATACTTAATTGGACACTGCTACGGACACCTAACATTATGACGTCCTTTTTGTTAATACTTAATTGGACACTGCTACGGACACCTAACATTATGACGTCCTTTTTTGTTTATACTTAATTGGACACTGCTACGGACACCTAACATTATGACGTCCTTTGTTGTTTATACTTAATTGGACACTGCTACGGACACCTAACAATATGATTTATGCTTTGATTGAATTCGAGCGATGAATGTTTTACTATTTTAATGATTTTATTTGATAAAGAGATAGATTTATTTTCAATTCAAGGGCGGTCTCTAACCAAAAGTCAGAGGACATCGAATGGCGAAATACTGGGTACATGATTTCCGAATGTTCTGCGTCATCAGATTCCGAAGGAGTGACGAGGATTTTCCACATGTTGGTTCGAAAGGTAAATATTGGTAACCAGACAGTCAATTAATGCGTTTCCCCAAGCATGTGCTGATGTGAAGCTCGTGCAAACCTCTAGTTATACAAATACAAGGGACAGCTACAGGATGCTAATGAACACACCTTAACACGCCTACATATATATGGTAACTGATGTGGTCGAATTTACATACTACAGTAAATATACGTACCTACTTATCATAAGTGATAAAAGTGAAAAAAAACTCCTTCAAACCTAATCTCAAGAGATGTTTTATTTAGAATTAGGTTTTAGATACACTTGAGAAATTTTAGAACACTTTTGTAACTTCTTAGTAAGTTACCGGGCACGTTTTCGAACAATATGTTACCAGAAAAGATTCAGCGACCACACCTCACAAACCTCAACAGACAAAATGATAATAACGATCAGAAAAAACATATCATGAAGTAACATCACGGAAAATCGTCTAATTGTTTAAATCTATGATTGTACCTTGTCATTATAGAGAAACCATATGTACCTTATCACTTTAAAATGTGCCTTATCGTGTTAAATGTATCTTATCACTATGAATATAATCATTATCGGTTAAAAATTTATCAGACACAGATTTTATATGTGTTAGGATTTTGGTTTGACTAAAATCATTTTTTTGATATTTCGTTTAGATACTGGAAAAACGTGAGACACACTTAAAGGTCCAGAGAAAATTGTCATTATCGCACGCGCCACTTGGGTCACCCAAATTGATCAGAGCTCACCTTCGCAGGAGGTTCAGTGTGTTTACCCGAGAAAGAACGTCCACAATGTAACATAATCACGTGAACATGACAAGGTTAAGAACCATTCTAGTCATAGAGATGTCGATATTGCCATAAGTTTCTGTATTTCTGACAGAAAAAAGTTAGATATTGGAGACGTTGAACTGACGACAAATATACACGTGGAGAGAAAGTCATACATGTCTCCTGAAATGATACCTGTCAAACAGATTGATATCTAAAATCATTGAATCTATAAATTTTAGTTACGTGACTGGAAAAGAATTTTAGATCAATGTCAAGTGAAGGAACGATAACACTAAAACATTGTTTGTCATAATGTGTGTGTGCTTGTTATAGGTCTGTCATTAAAACGGTGCCATCACACAGAATATATAATCGTCACTAAAATGACGACAGGGAAAAGTAAATTAGGACATCTTTAACGGTCGGCATCAAAAAGGTATTGTTCCAAGATGCTACTGGTAAATCACAACCAGTATCAGGTATCAGAACGTTGGAGAACGTTTATATGGTTCAAACGGTGTCCAAATATCACACTTTCCCCAACTTTTGCAGGAATTGATGTCCTCACTACATCGACTTGTTTGTGGCAGTGATATTGACATGAAACGATGACGCTGCTGGATCTCACTTTGCAGTACATTTCTTGTTTCTCAACTACCAACGGATAAACTGAAGTCATTGGTCAAGGATATCAATGTATAAGTAATCATAATACCCCCTAAAGAATCACAAAACTGGGCACATATGACTGTTAATATGTTTTATTCTTTAAGGGATAAACATTTGGACTCTCCTAAATAAATTCTGTGAAATATGTAGTCATTTGTTCTTTGGGGAATCCTGAAGCGGATAACAATGTACGTGTGTTTGATGTCATATTATCATTAAGATAAGATTATTCAGACAGTGTGACAGTGTCAAATGCAAAGGATTAATTTCATGTTTACATATTTTTAATGACTTCGTTGTAAATGAGATGTAATGAAATCATACAAAGTTATTAACATAACTTGTGTCTCATTAAGTCAACCTAACGGTGGGCCAAAAGTTTGATCGTTATCTAACGAAACCAAAAAGATTGTGTCCTACGCTCATTATAATACACTACTGTGTAGTTGTTTAATTTCACGGGGTTATATTTCGCGGTCGGCCAGGTTTGGGCTTGGTCACAGGTATTAAATTTCACTCGTCTATACATTGGTATATATATATATATACATGTATTTAATACAGATGTCATAATATTTTCTATTAGTTTAAATGTTTGTTGGCTATTTAAGTTGTGCTATATTTAATGATAGAGAATAAAGGGAAATAAAATCCTCGCTAATATTACAAACTGTTCAATATACATAAAACTGTAATGTATCTTTGTAGCGGATATTTTTGTACGTTCCAACTTTAGTACTGACCAATGTACCACCTGAAAATAATGCAATCATCAGATCAGATTTTGATTTGAATTCTATACAAAACTCTGGTTTCATTTACGTTCAGTATGTGTGGTGATATTTGCAATGTCTTAAGGCCCACTGGTGATGCATTTGAGAAAAGAAATCAGTTCTTTAATTTAATTTTTTTTGTTGAAAATTCTGTATACATTCTCGCATAGAACATTGAGATGATGTGAGTTTATTAAATGTCCAACTTTTCATATATTTTATGTTTCTACACAGTAAGAATGGATATTGCAGAATAAGGAATAAATTGGACTAACATTTGAGACACTCTGTTTCATTACCAGTTTTAATGTTAAAAAACATCGGATATTCGTATCTAGGCAAACAGCTGTATTACCTCCAAACTTCGTAATATTTTCTAACTGTATTGTCACTTTTTCTTCATTCATATTCAGATACATTTGGCAGGTTTGGAGTCATTTACAAATGCGCATCGTAATAACGTACACAAACAAATCAACAAGCTTGTATAAATATTTCAGTATAAGTATCATACATAATGACAAATTTGAGTTATCTCCCTTAACGAGATAAGAGACAACTTATCTCATAATCGTGCACGGTTTCAATCGTTCTAAATGTTCTGGTGTAAATAAAGAACTATATTTTCATCATTATTGTTATTCTTATTTTGTAATGCATTTGTATACAAAACCAGTATTTAGGTTAGCAATGCATTGGTAAGACATGCTAGATTTGAAAAACCAATACGAGGAAACACATAGCATATATTTGACGTATACAAAATGATGTGACTAGCACAATAAAGTGCCTATTTTAAACACGTCGATAGTATTCACAGAACTGTATCAAAATTAGACAAAATATCAATATTCTGGTAAAATTCTTATTTTGATAACTATATCTATATAATGAAATTGTGTTAGAAATGGAATTAGCCTATCAAATCACTGACAGATCATTGGACATTTGTTCGTAAGTGATGTATCAACGGTCTGTGATATTATCTTAAATCAACCATTCATGTGTGTGATCATTAAGAATAATTTTATTTCAAAGTTTGGTAATCATATGGAAACACGAGTAGACTTTCCTCTCGAAAATCGATATATTTCAAAACAAACGTAGTCACTTCTGTTTAGATAGGCGAGTTAGCAACGATACTTTGAAACGGAGACTATCTATTTGAGTTCTACATCAGCAGAGTTACCTGAATAATGTTTACAATGGGTTCAAACATTATATTCTTTTTACTGTTATTTCTCTGGGTATCGTTCTTTTTAATCTAATTTCGGCATGTGAACTGATCAGTATATTTTTTTCCAAACTGAATAGACTCATTTGTTGAGATGAAAAAATAATTAATTTTTCGGAAAACACATCCTACTTATATTTCTGAAATAATTTTTTTCATGTTTCAAAACAAACAGTTACATTAAAACTCAATTTTGTAAGAGTGTTCAAGAGAGTAGCTTTTGAAGTATTGTACGAGAGATATATTCAACATTGTATAAAATATATCATTGAGTTATGCTCAATATTATATCAAATATAAAATTATTGACATATAATGAAAAAACTCAATTTTATAAAAGTTTTCGAGAGAGACGCTTTTGAATTATATAAAATATGAAATTATTGAGATATATACTCAATATTATATAAAATTATTGAGATATACTCAATATTATATAAAATTATTGAGATATACTCAATATTATATAAAATTATTGAGATATACTCAATATTATATAAAATGATATTTTGATGATATACTCAGTATTATATACAATACAATATTACCGAGATATCATATTATGTATTGTTGCAATTTTCAAATATCTTCTGTTTGAAAATAGTCTAGGCATCCAAACTCTAGCGCAACACTTAATGGCGTATCCCCAGACATATTCTCTATAGTTTTACTACCTCCGGCTTTTATCAATTCTTCTACAACTTTCTTGTGTTGTTTGTCCATCTTTGCACCAGAACCAAGCGTTTTCTTGTTACAATGTATTATATTCATCATATCTAAGTTCATCGTGAGTTCACTTGAGTACAAGAATGGTAACGGCGTGTTCTGCCTTAGATACAAGATTCCGTTTGAAGCAGCGAGGTGTAAAGGTGTGTTTCCCAGTCGATCGACTACGTTGACAGAGGATGTTTCAGCGAGTATACAACGGAGCGTTTTCAAGTCTCCACTCGCAGCAGCATAATGAAGTGGATAAATCCCGCAGTTATCCGGAAGTGAGACACGACTTCCTAGGGACAATAGCAGCTGTGCTGATAAGAAGTTTCCACTTTGACAGGCATCGTGAATAGGCAGATTGCCTTTCTTGTTTCTAGTATGAACGTCACATCCGTATCGAACAAAAGAGTTCATCAGGCTTTCTCTGCCATATCTGGCAGCAATATGAAGTGCACTTTCCCCCTCAAACCCGTGACCGCACGGATCTGCCCCGCATGAAATCAAGGCTTGCAAAGATGCGACCTGACCGTGCTCTACCGCTACTAAAAGTGGCGGGTTTCCCAAGAACGGATAGTTTATATCCACTCCAATCCGTTGAAACTCCAAAATTTTCTCCACGTGTCCATTTTTGACAGATTGCTGCAGTTGTAGTAATTTTATTGGATTCGTTTGACAATGATTTAATCCAAATGTTAAGTAGTGTTTTAATGATGAACACATTGAAAAAGTATCAACTTTCTGGATGATTTCCTGACCAAGACTACGTCGGATTTTCCTTCTAGTTATACCCTGCAGTGTATCAGGAAACCGGTTGTTGCAAAATTTTCTAATGATTTCGAGATCACTATGTGGGCCGTTGTCTTCAGTATGAGCTTCCAGTAGTTTTTGTAATTTATTTTTATTGACTCTGGAATGATCTATATCGCTAAGCAGAAGCTGGAGAAGCAGCCGACGCTCAGTAGACGAGGCTTTTGTGGACATGTCTGATTTTGTCAATCCTTTCAGTATCATCGCTATAGGTCCATTTTCGCTTTCTATTTCGGGAAATACTGCGTGAAGGTCACATCCGTAAGATATTAAACAAGACGCAAATTTGAAGTTCTGTCGCCCTGGCGATATAGCTATATGCATTGCAGTTAAACCATCGTTATTTCTCAGAGTCATGTCGCATCCGTTCTCGACTAACAAGCAGGCCGATAGTAATTGGTCTCGTACAACAGACAGGTGTAAGGCAGAAAATCCTGACCTGTCTTGTAAGTTGGTGTTGCAATTGTGTTTTAAGAGGAGATTTAGTAGTTCTGTTTGATCACATGGGTGCCTGGTACACAGAGAAGACGGGATACATTCCATTAGAGGTGACCGGGAATCACATGTTCGTTTATTGACATCACATCCGTTCTCAACTAAAACTTTTGCTACATTGAAAGACCCATTGGAACATGCGCGAAGTAGGGGCGTTTCACCGCGTTTGTCACTACGGTCTACATCAGCACCTGCTCTTACCAAAATACTGGCTACTTCAGCAGAGTCGTACCAAGCCGTTGCTCCTAGGGGAGTCACTCCGTCAAGGTCAGCATGATCCACGTTTGCACCCAAAGACAAAATATGATTCACAAAATCAACATTTCCCAGCTTAGCTGCACAGTATAACGGAGTTCTGTCAAATTGATTCTTCGCGTTTGGGTCGAATTGTGAACAAGATAGAAGTAATTTAACTATGTCCTCATTGACGTTTTGCTGATCTAGGGCGAGGATTAACGCTGTGTCACGACCGTAGATCTTATTCACGTCAGCTCCACTTGAGACCAGTTGGCGGACACCTTTCAAGTCGCCGTCACGGATGTGCGAGTGAAGACTCTTCACATCCATTTCAACCACGCCACTCACTGTTGAAACATGTTTTTTTCGAAATTATCACAAGAAAAATACAAATCACTGAAGCCCTAGAAAGTCAAAATGCATTTTAAAGGTAGTATTTTTGTTTTGGACATATGCCAATGAAATAAATCACGGCTCATACTATTATATATCTGCTGTTTATAAGCACTTCCTGTAACAATTAAGAACTAACTTCGTCTATGTTACAAGCGTTATATATTGATAGGAACATCCAACTAAACTTTGCACCTGAGAATAATTCTGTAACTATCGACTTTACTGTAGTGTGTCTCTATATACTTGATAAAGCTTCCTGATATCTAACATGGTTGAAAAAAAACTGCATTTTCCATCTCACAACTCTATTTGATTAAGATTGTACCTAACTTAAACATATTCACACAATTTTGCTAAATCATACTAAAGCTATTCATGTCCTTAGCATCACTGACGAGCCCTGGAGGAACGAAACAGATGTATGATGCAGTTTACTTTATTGTTTAGCTCTAATGAATCTTACCTAAATTTGTATGGAAAAGAGTTATTCACGTGTGCGTTTTTTCTACAGCCTTTAACTAACATACATGATAACTGTACAACAAACACATCAATAATTAATGTAATACTTCCGAAAGGACATCGCCATATACATAAGTTCATTATGCACTTACTATGCCAATGAAAGTTGACCAGCTGTTACATCAACTGCTTCTACGTTGATGACAGCATTACAGATCACAAAGACCTTCACTGCTTTCTTTTGTTTTGACTACAGCAAATGAAGCATATCGGGTAGTCAGAATGTCGTCATCTTGGAAGGAGCACCTTGCCGGATTTAAGCTGAAGAATGTAATTATATTAACGTTGATGACAATATCATAGGTTGGGGTCGAGATAGTAAACGAGAGGAATCATACAGTTCACTCACCTTCAGTCTAGCGTTAATCAGTAGAAACTACAATAATAACTGTCAAAAGTAAGGGGGCATAAATATAAGCTTAAATGGATGAGGTCAGGCATATCGGGATCTCGTAGAGCACGTTATACTAGCACGTTAACGAGCATGCTATTAAGTTATGATGGCATTGTGTAAGGAACATAATTGCTACAAGTAGAACATAAAGATGGTAGTTTCGAACGCATGCTCCAGTACACACTTCCTACTTGTTCACCAAACAATGTCAACAAAATACGTTCGATCATCTCCACAATTTTGTAGTATAAGTTGAACTTGTGTATATCTACAAGCCCTAATGAACGGAAATACGATATACGTTGTTTAAACTCACTGGCTTCAGGTTACACTTGTGTGTATATATAATGCAGTAGTTTTCAGGCTTGAAATTGCACCAAGTAAAGTGTCGCACACTCACAAGAGACGACCAAAGTATATAATCAAAATGAACATTTTCGACCTACATTCTCTTTTAAACAAAACCTCCCGAGGCGGCATGTCCTCACGATCACCATTTGACCGGTTCTTCACATCGTACGTAGTCTGACTCCAACGGAGACCAGCCACCCGTGTCACCTCGGCAGTATACATCCACAAGGCTACTTTTATAGAGCACACATATAGCATGCGTAGCCTTGTAACGGAGGTATACTTATAGACAGTGTGACATCACAAAGTCCCATGTAGGATGGTTTTACACGCTTATTCTGGAGAACGACTGATAACGTCTAGTATATTCTAGGAACAGTGACATCATACACTATGTAAATAGATAGTCAACTACTCTACATATGTAATATGCATAACATTACTTTTTTTAAACATAAAGTGAGTACATTGTATGAATGTCCGTTTTTAAAAATCGCTCATGAAAAATAACGAAAGTAACCCTATTTATAGACTTGTTATTTTTCTCAGAATGCCTCTGAAATTATTTGTCATCTTAGTATATAACATGTTATAGCTGAATTATGAAAAACATTATAGGTGATCAAGCAATTGATTGAACACACTAAATCATTGAAAAAAACATCTTCCGGTTTCCGGATTCGATACTAGACATAAATATATGCAATTTACCTGTGTCATCGTCTGCTTAACAGAGATCCCTATTTCAACTCCACTAAGTGAAGTTCTCCCATCCTGTTGTTTGGCTATCAATGATGAATACAGCAATACAACTGTGTGATTTTAACACGTTATGCAAATCAGTCAGTAACACCTGGTTGTATAATTGGCAAACGATCACATATGCAGGTAGTGTCTGTTCACATACTCGTAACTATCAACACAGAAACACTATACAATGCAAGGTTGACTATAGCTATGCACATACGGGTACATCAATTATTTATACGTGTACTTCATGCGGGGTAGTTTTCGGTCCTGTTATCACGGTTGGTCAGTCAAGTGATGATTTTCGCTAAAAATGCTAATGTTTCATCTGATATCGACCTCTCCAGTAAGAGAGATCGAAAAGCTTCAAGATATAAACACGGTTGAGTAATAAGTGCATTTAAATATACGTAATTGATACACGCAAAAACGTGTAAAGATGAATCAATATTTAAATGATTTACATATACTACTATAAAAAAGTAACACTACAAAGTAAACGTGTTTGATCAACCAAGGTTACTCTAAACATATATGTATATGTGGTCTGACTTGGTTTTTCCGTATAACGAGAAAGGCATATGATAACGAAGTTTCACTCTAGAGTATATGAAAAAATATTCGGTTTCTCAACGTTTCTCTTGAGAGGAAAAGTGTCTCGTCAGGAGAGAAAGTGGAATATATACATATGCAAATAGTCCAGAAAGGGTTTATTGTACATAGAAAGTCTCCATTGTCATAAGGTTTACACAAGTTTTAATCAATTAACGATTGTTCATAAAGTCTTGATCTAACTGTCAGTTCCGCAAAAGAAGAACCGGGACAGCGACAACCAAAACACAAAAAACAATACCAAGTAATATATGAACAACGTATATCCGATGTGACTAAATATACAATTGAGGACATGCCAAGGTAGTCTTTTTGAAAACAAAGCAAGTTATGCAAGCGAGGGCGCCGGATGTTCTCGTCTGTATACAAATATAATGATGAATACTTTGCCACAAAAATCAACAGAGATTTCGAGGAATACAATTTTTGTCATGATGTTATTTTTTCAAGTGCTTTTAGTTTCTTTAAACGAATGTTATTCTAAATAATCAACTTAAATATTTTATACTGCCATCGGCTTTTCTTGAAAAGAAGACTGCCATAGCACGACAGCGTTAACGCCCCTCAAGTTTGGTTTGATGCATTCTAATTTCCTGATTTCAACTGACATAATGGAAATAAAATAATCATATCTCGAAAAGTGAAAAGTGCTATTATTTTATTCAGCCGTAAGATTTTTGGGATCAAATTATTATTTTTTTCTTAAAGTTGTTTTATTTCACAGACACTACATATATATAAGCGTTGGGACTTCGAAGCTGAGTTTACCAGTTAAACTGGTTCACAATCGTCCTTGCGTGTTGACGTGGAGAACTTCCATCCGTGTTAAATTATTAAACAGGAAAGTTCAAACAAGGCCATTACTGTGTACGTGGGAGAGAGTATTGTATTTGAACACTGCGACTTTATGTTACAATAATCAGCGTACTATTCGTGACAATGTGGCTGTGAACAATTTATATATCGATCCGACAAATCGAACTCTTTGATGTGTATCAAAACAATTCCTAAGGCAATAGAGATGCGAGGGTTCTATCGATCATCCATAGTGCCTAGATAATAATCACAATTCCATGTGTTAATAACACATCATGTAACCGAGTCGGTCTCCAGTTTAACGAAAACAATAACGATAACTCATAACAACAAAAACAAAATTCTCGTTACGAAGGCGTTCTTTCTATTTTCCTACGATGTAAATATATATACGAAGAGAATAAAATGCAGAGTTCTTGAAGAAGAAAGGATTGTGAAGAACGGAAAGTCAGTAATGATCAGGAGATGTTACGAGTAATGGAAAATGCGCATTCCACTTCTAGTTAATCACAAAACAACTGAAGTTGATCAATTTTAAGTGTAGGAATCCATATGTTAACGATATTCTTAAATTCTGTAATAAATAAATAAAAAACGTATTTTTTAAAATCAAAATTCCATTCACTGTGTTGTAATCCTTTAGTTTTATAGTTGTTTTGTTGGGTTTTTAAGATAAAAGATCCAAAGTTCATGAGTGCTAGATGATTTCTTTACTGGTTATTTATCTCAGGTTATCATAAAAATATTAATTCAATCATAAAGCGTACATTATTTCTTAATTACATGGATTGCTACTGTATTTACACCATTACACCAAGCAATTAGTACCGACGGAACGTGGCATACTCACCACTTCTAAGATAATCACTTGAGTCGCAGTAACATTGTTCGGTTATTGTTTATAATGAAGTAGAAAATGCACGCTCCAGCATCCTGACACACCCCTATTATGATAGCGCATATCCATGTCAGGTGCCCGTAATTTTCCAAATAGAATTTTACTTTTCTTAAAATATATCGAAGCTAAGTACACTCCGTTTTTATCTAACATATATTCAGTTTACTCGAAAGCTGTATGTCTAATTGTAAGTACCGTGCTGTTTTAATTAAATATTAGCTACCAATGAAGACTTATGTAATGAAATCTGTTTCAATCATCATTATATTACATAATCATGGGCATTCATTGAACGAAATGTAACCCAACAAAAATACGCCATCAGATCATGGACTCCGATATCAAGGTCTAAGTCTGTGGCTAGACCAGGGACGTATAGGATATAAGACATTCCTGGTTAAAGGTACTAGTCTACAAGGATACCAGCATTACGTACAGTCATAATACTGAACATGTAACACTTGGCAGTATAACGAAAACAACAAAAACTACAGCAAAATAACAAAAAGGAACGGAAAAAATCAACAGATCCATGATTCCTTGGAGCTGTCAGGAAAAATATAGCACATTAATTATTTTGATAGATACCCAAATACGACGAAATCCAACATGTAAATCTAGATAGAATACAAATTATATCAGGGTATATCTATGACCTAGGACAGACACAAGGTAATGACATGGAAGCTGTGAAGCACAGAAAATGTAAAATAGGGAGGAAATAACAGTATACATAAACACGGTACAAATATGGTAATAAAGAAATTGTGGACGTGTAGACTATAGAATTCTACTTCAAGGTCAGGAATACTACATGAAAGACAGAAACAGAACTCAATCACAATAAACATGGCTTGAGATTTCTTTGGCAGCGTTACACTTGCATCAGTGCAGAGAAAACCAAATGACAGACATAAAGACAAAACAGAAATGGGACCAGACAGTAGTCGTCATCCAAATTAAAGGACTGAAAAATAATCTATATTGAATTAGATTCAAAAAAGGTTTCAATGTCGTATAAAATGTCCATTTCTTTGTGTTGAATGGTTTTCAGAGAGACCAGCTACTGATATGATCTCCTTCTTCTGTGTCAATTGCTCTTTATCTTGCCAAATTCATTGTTTATTATATCTCAAAATCTGCCTCAAGAGAATACATGGAATGATTTTGTGATATCGAATATTTCTTGAAGTCATCGAGATACTCTCTTATTCAGAAATATTTTTATTGTTCTAACAAATTTCAACCCTGCCCTGATAAACCAGTTCAGGTCATTTCTTTTTACAAACTTCGTTGAACTTCTTTCTACAAACCTTCTTGCCAGATATCTCGATTCAATCCCTTTCTGTTCATAAAATACCCTCGGAATGGTTTGTAATTTGACCCATTCATGGAAAGCGGATGAAGGTGATTCCTTTTTTTAAAAACTGTTTTCTTAAATGTCATTTATTTTGTAACAATTAAGATCATGAACAATCTATCATCTTATATAAGTATTTTTTGTTGGCTGGATGTGTAAGTGGGTAAGGGGTCAAAGACACTGGAATACCTGGGGAAACCCCATGAGGTCACACAGGTGACCCTATATCTTTGTCACATATGATTGGGATTAAGACCTAGGTGAAAGACAAATGTGTAAACTGTGCCACATGACTGACAACACACACAGTTTGTTGGGCCTCATCTCCGTAACAAGTTACATTAATAATATAATTCTAGGCCTTTTAGTAATTCAGAAAAAATCATTTATGACTTTGAATATTGAATCAAGGTGATTTTCATTTACAAATATTGTTGGGTTTCAAATGAAACCTACCAAATACCAGGACCATAAATCAAATGGTCCTTATGAAAACATTGAATAGAGGGGGGATTTCCAACACCTAGGAAAGATATTGTCATTTTAATATAATTGAGCAAGTAACTGCAAGACTCCATACATTGTAGTGTGTGATCTCAATAGGGACACATGCCCTATTAATTATGAAATGTGAGTAAAATTTCAACTTCAAACACAATAAAAACCCACTAATATTTGGATTTCACAATTTTAATTTCCAACATCATTAAACATTTCTCCAAGGACGGACATCCTCATGTGGAAGGGCTGTGCTGGACAAACCATCATGGCAGGGTTGGTTTTGTACCCTAGAGGGTAGTATTGCATCAGTTTGTATAATGTATATATATTGGGCACCTTTTCTTCAGGCTCATTTTTACTAAGTTTATTTAAAATAAAAGTGAATAATTTATCTAAATTAGCTGCAGCTGATTTCACTGTACTCGTTCTAGCTGAGTGTTCTTTCACATGTTCTGCAAATGACTTTGTGGTGACCTTTGGATTTGAAGGGGCAAAGGATGTTTGCCCTTCAGTCTTTGCTGTTTGAGAAGTTGTTTCAGTTTTAAGAGCATTATTTGCTGTTTCTAACTGATCTTTGTCCTGTGAAATTTGACTGGTAGGATTCACGTCTTTTTGATTGAAATTTTGCTCCTGTCCAGATTCAATACTTTCAGAATTTTCATTTCCCTTGTTTTCATCTTTATTATCAATATCTTTATTTTCCACAATTTCTAAATCTGCAGTAGTATCATCATCATTATTTTCATTCGCCGGATCTGGGTCTTCAGGTTGTGATGAATTAATTTTTACTATTTCAATATTGGAATTCTTTTCTTCTCCAGACTGTTTATTACTGATTATAATTTCCACAGTTGGTTTTGTATCTGGTTTAACTTCTTTTGAATCCTGTTTTTTATTGATCTCCTGATTTAACGATTCAAGCTTGTCCTGCTCGTATTGTTGAAGGATTGCTTCCTGTTGTTGCTGTTGTTCCATCTCCTTGCGAAGTTTTTTCCATTTTGTTCCCCGCACAGTGTCTGATGGCTCTACAATGCCAAACATTGACAGTAGATCCAACTGGTCATGCATGCCCTGTAGGATTTTGTCATCCTCTTTCTTCTGAGCACTACAGCAGTAAACACAAGCCACATCTATAGGGTGTGCCTCGGTGTTGAAAAAGTACCCACCTGAATCAATAATACACTCACCATTCGGAGTTTGAATGACAGAACCTGAGCTACCATTGTTGTGGATGAAATTATCCGTGTCAAATAACAAGTATAGGTATTTTGTTGTTTCTGCCAAGAAAAAACTTTCCATTCTGTTCTCTAGCTCATGTGTGGCTACATTCTTCACCTAAAATATAAATAAACAAGTAGAAATTGACAGCTTTCTTTACCACAGCAAGAGCAAACAAGAATTTAAAAATTAATTCACTAAATTAAAATCTGACACTAGTTTGCTTGTAAGATAACCTATCATTATTAAAGATTATCAGAAAAAGCATATTCTTTAGTCATGCCTTGTTCATGTAAATTTGTCTTCCATTTCATTTCATCATACAAAGAAATGCTTTCAGCTAATTTTCACCCATATTTTATGCATCTTTTTAATGACATTAACTGTATATCATTTTACCCTTTTAACTTTGTAATATACTTCAAATCTGAACATACATGTCCCTCTTTTGGCGGAGATTACGCCCTGGGCCTCTATGTTATTTTCTAGACTTTTATGCATTGTTAGCACATCATAGTATCCATGCATTGTCTTTGTAGTATTTCTGAATATTTGTTAATACTGAGAGATCACTTACTGTGGCATATCCACACTTGGTCTTGGTGCTGTGTTCTATAGACTCTAGTATGTCTACACCAATGTCCAGTAGATAGGGATCCTTTGTGGCCCGATACAGGTACATTGCACTCTCTATTAGCTCTAAAATATCAATTTTGATGATAAGCAGTATGGTATTAATTCCTTTTTGAATTGTCTTTCGCCCATTCTCATTGATAAGATTAATTTTTGTTATTGTCTAAATATTTTCAATAATGCACTCCAACATATCACATTGGGAAGAAGTAACTTCAAGTACAAACAGATGATTTTGATGATCAAGATTCTAACAAGGTACCTGGTTTATGCTTTCCTAAGAAAGAAAACTGAAAGAAGATTGGTTATAGGATTTTTCAGATGGCAATAAATTTGAGAAATTAAGTTTATTTTACCAAAATAAACATACATATTTCAGACATATTCTGTATTTGTATCATTTCAGAAGTTTGAAAAAAGAGACCAGTGTAATGATGATTAATATAGAAGCCGTTTTCTGAATGGAAATTATTTTTTGTTTTGTCTTCATTTAAGATAATTCAAATATTCTTAAAATACTTTACAGACTTGTGAAACTGCTACAAACCTGGTCTAAGCGGGTAACCTTCTCTACCACCATGAACTTCATTCTTAGGAATATTGTAGTATTCAGGTGTGAAGCCATACTGCTTCCAAACTTGGTGGAAATTATGCATAGTCTTCATTGCACCATCAATGTTCCCCAGCATGCTCTAACAAAAGGAAATATTCATGTCTATTACCTCAGGTGAATGTTGAGATTTGCACCTATGTGACTAATTAGTTAGACTGGGACTTCATTATAAATATCTGTGTACAGTGGTCAGTCAAAAGATAATGATAATGGACTGACCAAAGACTGAGATGTATATTCTACTTTTTGTGTGATCGGCCAGGCCATAATGCACTTGATGAGCTTAAGTAATACACTAAGTAAACAGGTCACTAAAACATGTATGTGCCAAGAATGAAAGGGGAGATGACTCTCCCATGACATTAGCATACATCAATGTATTGAAAATTGAATATAAGGCCTCCAGTTAACTTTAGCAAATCATAATTAATGGGGTTGCTATGCTGTTTCTTTGAAATATACATCTTGTGCAAGTAACAGCTCTGGAATTATTTAATGGTCATTTAATTTGATACTTTTATTTTGTAATAAACTAGTCTGCAATGAATTAAAAGCTAGTTAGTTTTCAAGGGTTTATCATTAAGATCAAAGGTTTGTCAAAACATATAATAAGCCCAGTATAAATAAATACTTCAATAAGTCTTCTTAAAAAAAGGCAAAATTAAATTGGAATTTCAATTATTTCCTGATCTTACCTGTATTCCTGGCCAGTATGCATCCAAAGATGTGAACATCGGCAGAGTTACACCCCCTTTGTTCATATGTGCCCACAGATACCAATCATCTCTTTTCATAAAATTATTGATTGGCTTTTCATATTCTGTAAATTAAATTGTCAAATTCATCAAATTAATCTGTAATATTCTGGAAATCAAATTAAAAATTAATAAAAGTAAAAATTTGTATTTTGGAAAATTATATTATTCAATATATCAAGGTAAATATGTGCTGCGACCGTACAATATCCACCCTTTCACTTTTTTAAACTATTCTAAAATCGTTTCAAAACAGGTTTAACAGGTGTTGCTATTAAAAAATGTACAGTCACTCATCAAAATTATCCTAAATTCATTGTAAAAACCTTTATTTTGACACCTGAATCTATTAATCATATAATTGTATATAAATGTCTGTATGTTGCCACGGCTGTTGAGTTCCTCGGTTAAAATTTTGGCTTCAAGGTTAAAAAATATGTCAAAGAAAAAAGAATTTGATCCTGCAAGTTGTCGAATAGGAAATGAACAAAAGTCTTGAGTATTATAGTCCATCACTCTACCACTCTACCAACTGAACCAAGAAAGTGAGCTTCATTTGACAGCAGGTGAAAGAGAGGCTGTATTTAACACTATGTATAAAACACATTGACCTGTTCCTTTGAAAAAAAAATATTCCTATACCAACCATGAAACATCTGCAGGAGTTCTGGAATCTCAAACATGATTCCTCCCTTGACTAGGTACTCAAAATAAGAATCTATGCCGCCCCCAATGCCGGAATCCAGTGCTGTCCACTTCCCTGTGTTAACATCTACATGGTTACCCACCTATAGAATCAACAACAGGAACTTGTTAACTGCATCCGTCTCCTTGATACTTCACAAGTATTGATAAATATAGGATTGAATTCATAGTGAATTCAGTGTTGAAAAATGTCCACAGGTATCAATCACACATCCTTCGATAAGAGAAGGTAAATTATACTCTATGGGAGGAGTGCAGATGATGGAATCTCAACTGTCAGTATGGAACATCTATTCCAGAGTCATGTAGGTACACTACATGTATAATTGGTTTATCAAGAAACATTTAGAAATTAAACTCAGAGTAACAAATATTCTAGAATTTTATATAATAAATAGTAGTACATAATACATTGTATTAGTATATATGGACAACAAGACTTTAACTCATTTAATAGTAATGAGATTTAACAAAATATGTTGCTACATGATATTTCAAGGAAATCAAATTTCTACTGTGGTACATTACCAAACCGATTTGTGACCTGTAGTTCCATAGTGCTCGGAGGGCCCTCATTGCCACCTTCTCAAACACAGGATCCCCAGTAAGTCTACTGAGCGTGCCAAACTCAATGATGAAGGTGCCCACTCCTGCAGTACATGTAATGGGCGTTTCCCCCTTGGGGACACCATGTCGCAGATTAACTGTCCCATATGGCATCCCAGTCACTGTATCAAATGCTGAAATATATATTAAAAATAAAGCAAGCAAATATTTTTTCATTAAGAGTTTTGGATCTGGAAATCCTATTGTAGAATCAGCCATTTCAACACACAGGAGAATTATATTGTAGAGATTTTAATCTTTACAGTTTATAGTCTCATCCTATATATAAAAAATTACACTCAGCTAGGATACATTCATTTGATGCTAATCAACCCTTACCTGGAAGAAGTCTGCGAGCAACATCCTCAGCCATCGACAAAAGTGGACCAGAGCACGGCCAGCCTGGTTCAACCCCAAGCCCAGCCTTGTGTGACATTAGATGAGCTGACAGCAGACCTCCAAGTACTAAAACATAAAACATTCACATCATTACATAACTCTTTTTTGTGTGGTATTGTATCTTGCAATAGAACCTTCCATTGTTAACACGGAGAAAACATGTTATACTTCTTTCTTTTATTCAAATTTTGTTTATCTATGGTATAACATACACCCAGGTGTAAAGAATAATGAATACGTGATTATTTACATATCACTTACTGCGGATATTTGTTTCAAAGACAGACACATTGATATCAACATCAAAGTCCATCTTCTGAGACACCAGGTGAGCTACCCTCCTGAACTCCGAGTAGTTCCCCACTATTGCCAGTGTATCCAGTGCATCGATCAATGTCAGAGAATAACTGTGTATTAAAGTGAAAGCTTCCATCAGTTAAAAAGTCTCACCTTATAAATACAATTTTGATAAACTCTAATTCTGTTATACTTTTAACGCAAATGGTATCCATTTTACAAATTAATTTCAGTAGTTCAGAAAAACTTAATTCAAAAATACAAAACACAGATTAGAAAACAAATCAGTATCAATATTTCTCACAACATTTCTCACCTGCCCCATGTGTCCAATCCATCACAAGTCAAAGGTCGGAGTTCATCATAAGGATAGGCATAGTTAACGTAACCATCATAAGCATGATGAAACATCTGCAGCACTCTCTCTCTGAAATCAAGGAAACCCAAATATTATATAATTTCTAAACTTCACCTTTCCATAAAAAGAAGACAAAATAGGAAAATACAATTTTTTTGTAGCAGCCTTCAACAAAAAATCTAAAAATATATATTTATCCGAGGATATTGAAATGCTAGCATTGAAGTCAAATCTAGAAATAATACACTATTAATTCCATATTGTTTAAATTTTCCTGCCTACATTTTATCTAAATTGTTGGAAGCAATGGATTGCAATGTTATTGCTGAAATACTTTACTGGACACACAAATCTAATTCCCCAGGATAACCAAACAATGATGACACAAGTTACATTGATAAAGGTCAATTCCTGGGGAACATGTCACCTTTATAATAAAATAACACTCATCCACTGTATTGATGGAGTTAGAGAGGAGATCCCCTCACCAAATTGGTAGCAGGCAAAGAGTGACAGTAAGCAAATGTTATGTGATTTTGATATAGTGTGTTTCTTACTAGTGTAATAGGAAGGAGTAATGAAAAATAACTTGCCCCTGGTAGAGTTTGAACTAGTAACCCTTTAGTATCCTGTCTGAAAAATACGGATCTCTCTTTCTGATATTGTACATAGTTATGTTCTTCGAAAGATTTACTGTCTGATTCAGTAGACAAAAATCTTCTCTTGAATACCAGTAAATCAGATCAACAAAGAAAATTCTGTGTTGCATAAGACCTTATCCATTTTGGAATACTCTGTTGAAATCATTAATACAATCACACACTGTTGACAGTTAGTTCTCCGACTTCATAAATTATCCACAAGCAGACGATTTTTTTAGTTCAGCTACTAAACTGTAATATCATATACAATATTACAATACCAAAATGAATGTTCTCTGGCTACCTGTATTTATCTATATCCTCCTTTGTGTAACTTCTACCGGATATATTTGAATGGTTTAGAAAACAAAACAAATAAACCAAGATCTCTGCTACACGTCTGTAGGCTGCCATCTTTTTCTCCGGTCTCGTACTTTTCGAGAATTACCTTTTCGACTTCCTTTTCCGGTTTGACGCCATATTCTATTGGCAAAGTGAGTGTTGTTCTCAATTAAATCCGGCTAATATTGTCTTTAACTTACGATAATCGGTAACAATAATAGGAAATAAAGAGTTATCCGAAACGCCTTTTCCTCAGGCAGCCATAATTTTTTGTAGAAAGCTTGAGGGTAATCGTCAAAATGGTCCTAACTTCAGCTGAATCCCCATGGATGTCTTTTTTGGGAATGAGGGGATGTATACACTGCTGGCTTGTTGTCAGGCTGTTCTTAATCATTGTTGTTAATCTTCATCTTTAAGTCCGAATATCTGTCCACATTCGATATTAAATCAGTATTTGCTAGCTGCATTAGCCGAGTCATAATTTAACAAGTCGATTGAGATACCATAGATAGGATGTTTCACATGGCGTGCCGTTCTACCAGATATAAAATAAGTCAACTACAAGAATGTATGGCAACTGGAAACATAATCTTGGAGAAGTTTGTATTTCGGTTTAAAAAAAAGATGAAAACAAAGGAACACAGTCATGCAAACCACTTAATGTCATAGACCAAAGTAGTTGATGGTGATCACAGATCAGTCGTTAAAGATGAAACAAATATGAAGAATGGCACTTTAAAAGTGTTACTAAATATGAAATTAAAACGCTATCCTGAAAGTGTAATGTACATATATGCTTCTGTAACAAATGGTAAAAATTGCCAGGATATACACAAATACGATATACTACGAATATAGTGTGAATTAAAACTATTTATGAAAGCAGTTAAGTTAAGCACACGCCCAATAAGATAAATTTATTGTTTGTTTTGTTACTTTCATTACAACTCCTATAATTTCATTTTGTATTTCTGCAGATGTTGATGCCCAAGAAGAACCGTGTGCAGATCTATGAATATTTATTCAAGGAGGGTGTCTTAGTCGCCAAGAAGGATTTTGGAGCACCCAAACATCCAGAGATCGATGTCCCTAATCTGCATGTCATCAAGGCACTGACAGTATGTCAATATTTATTCACCTTTGAAAAAATGAAAAGTTGTTCCAAAGAATAGTGTTGTGAGAAACTAGACCAATTTTCCTCTGGCTCCTGTGATAATTGGTGAGGACTTCACCCCTCCATCAAAATGGTTAATGTCTAACAAATGGTGTGTGGTGCTGAGCCAGAGGAAATTCTAGCTAGGGAAAACAGGACTTCTGGTCATGAAATGTACTTGAATGTTTGTAGTATTGTTTTATTTTCATTAATGCAAAGAAAGTTATTGAGCAATCTGTCAGAGTGACAAATGCAGATACATTGAAGATTCTGTGATGCTTTTTATTACACTGTCCTGGCAAAGTCTCACAGCTTGTTGTTTATTATAACAAGGGACATACTTGCATAATATGTGAACTGTCTGGTGTATGATGATAGACACACTTAGCAACATTAAAGTGAAAGTTTAAATCATCATGGTACTTAGTGACAAATTGCCATATGCCAACTCAAATTGACAACACTGATTATAAGCGGACTCCAAGGGATTTTGTGATTTGATACCTAAACTGATGTAATAATATGAATCAACATAACTATAGGAGCGAGTTTATAAGATGTCGAAGGGAATACACATGAATATAATTTTGTTTGATATATAGCTATGATGCACCTTCACAGTCGATACGAGTTTGAATTTATTTGATGTTTAGTTTAGCCTTGTTCTGCATTTTACAATTCCTGATTCCACAAATTAAGTGAGTTGTCTTAATTTTTGTTTTAGTCTCTGAAGTCACAGGGATATGTCAGGGAACAGTTTGCTTGGCGTCACTTTTATTGGTATCTTACCAATGAAGGTATCCAGTACCTGAGGGACTTCCTCCACCTACCAGCGGAGATTGTCCCTGCCACACTCAAGAGACAGACAAGGCCAGAAACTGCCAGACCTAGGCCCAAGGGTATGTATCATTTCCGTAATTGTTGGTCAATTCATGATCTTAGATGGTAAATTAATTTTAATTTTGACCATAACTGATCATTTATGATGGTTGTAATAACTTAAGAATGAAAATCAATTTTAGCATGAAATTTCAATAGAAGTAAATTTAATTTGGTGCATTGTTAGAAAAGATTGATTTTTAACGGCATTAAAAGTGTAAAGAATTCTGAACATGCATATATTTTAGTGGTGATTAAATATGAAAAATTAGTGGAAAAAAGAGGTAATAAATAAAACCGATCATTGGAGACAATTTTGAAAAGCCCCTTAATTGAATATGACTGAAAGTGATCAGGAATTTTCAACTTCACATCATGAAACTTTAGTGTATCATAATTTAAGAAGTCTTGTTGATTCTTCATTTACTTAACATATCCATTGGTAGTTTATAATTAATTGATTTATAGATAAAATATGTTAACAACTGTTAAATTATTGTTTGTGTTCGGTATGAAAAAGTACAGAAATACAACCTCAAATATGCAAAATATAGACAACACAAAATGGTGAATAGTAACAAAACCACTGTTCATGTACATTTCTTTTCTACAATAATACAGTCTTCACTGAAAACTGATTGCAATTGATAACTCAGCTGATTTTGTTTCAATTATGGATTATGAAAGTAAATTGATTCCCATCTCTTCATTTAATCCTTTCTGTCAATTTCATACATTATATTTTTATATGAATGCCCACAAAGTATGAAATATCTCAAAATTTATCAATTTTGGTGAATGATTTTTCCACCTCTCCTTAGTCGCTATGTTCACTTAGTTAACAAACTGATGAATTCTTTCAATGTCACATGTCACATTATATGATTATGTCTTTGTAACACATCTAAATTTTTCAATTTTCTAAAGCTTTGTTTTTAAAGAATCCTCCCCATCCCCACCAAAAAAAAAGAAATAAAAAAAAAGTTATAACAAGAAAATCAGATATTAAAGTGGCCAGTCGGCAGATTCCAGTCTGTAATATTTTTATTATATATTTTGCTGATATTTCATGCATATTTGTTATAGGTCCAGAAGGACCACAGAGAGGCTCTGGACCCAATGATAGGTCAGAGTACAGACGTGCACCACGTGAGTACAACACACTTTAACATGTAGTAGGGAAACTGATTATATTTATACGCTAACTGCAAGTTTCAACCAAAAGTATGATTGACACAGGTTCAATTTCCCATTCAGGAAATGTTTTTGTTTTTACATTTGATAATATGAAAAAAAACTTATTTAGTATATTCAATTCAAATTTGTGGTGAATCCTGGTTAATATAGCTGCATATGATTAAGATTGAATTTTACATTGTAATATGCAATAACATGATTTGTTGATGTTTACAGAGAGTGGAGACAAGAAGACTGATGTTGGGCCAGGTGCCGATACACAGTTCCAATTCGTAAGTGTGAACTTCAGGCAGACACTTGCTTTGTTTTCATTTTAAATGCTAGTGTCATGATTCAAAAAAATTATTAGGACCAACTTATCATGTTAACTCGATGCTTTTTTGAGCTCATCCAATGGTATATTAATTTTTTTTTTTTAAATGTTTTGTTTTTAAGTACAATCCCGTAATGAAAATCTTTCTATTTTGTTTACAGAGAGGTGGATTTGGACGCGGAAAGCCTGCACAATAGATGTCATCTTGTAAATAGGGGTAAAAAAATAAAAGAAAAAAATCTCAAGAAGGGAATTTTTGTTTTGATTTTAAAGAGTACATGATAATGATACTTGAAAGAAATACAAGTATAATAAGTATAAAATTCAACATTTAATACATTTTCAATTCACAATTGGTCACTATTAAGAATTGTCAAAAAAACTAAATCTTAATTAAAAATCTGCCAGATGTTGTCCAGTTTGTGAGAAAATTGGTACATACATGTGTTGTCAGATATGGGAATTACGATGATGACATTTGTTTGCTTTTTGGACTAAATGACTGCCCTAAAGAGGCAGCTAATTAGAGGAAATATCTTATTCGGTTGAAATTTGAAAATTGTCCAGTTTTTATTTGTTACATAGGGTGACAGGACAAATTCAACAATTATCTTATTCTTGTTGGAAAAATGGTTGCTCTGCAGAGTTTACCGGTACTGTGGTGAAGTTTGACAGTTCAATTTTTATCACATTTGTTATCAATCAAACACTATACTCATCAATTAGCCTTCAGGGATGTGAGGACATTTATTGGTCCCCATACAATGGGTATACTTGAAAGTATGATTACTCAGAAAAGTTCCAAATTGACTGGTATTTCTGCAACTCCGTGGAGACATTCTGTAACCAAACTTTTTACCTTTTTTTATCCATTAAGTCGCCAAATGTTACGACATTGGCATCTACGTTTATAAAAAAAGTACTATATGTGTCATAGAGAGTTGAAAAGCTAAAAAGCCTGCGTCACGGCATGTTAATGGCCAAATATCAAGGGAAGATTTTTGAATTAATATAACCTGTGACCTGGAAAGAAGATCCAGGTCGCTTATTTCGTTATTGGCCAAAATATCAACTCAAGTAGCTCAAGAGAAGATGTTGAAACAAATTGGTCTTTTGTGACCTTGATGGAAGTCCAGGTCACTCATTTTAGTATGCAATTGGCCAAATGATATCTGTACTTTTGATTATAAGACCAGGTCATTTCAAACAATAGTACATTTGACTCCGGTGACCTTTTAAAGCAAGTAAAGGTCATTTATTTGAAATAAGTAGTCACCTGAGCTGGAATCCTGTGCCCAATTACTTGGAAGAAACAAAGTTTGATCTATAGTCCGTCATCCACGCATGTGTACCATAATTTAGAAGTTAAGAGGACTAACATAAACTCACTTCTTAGAATTGTGTACCTTTTCATTTACATGTTACTGATACGTTTTAACTTCGCGAAAACGGCAATATCACGCTTTAATTAACCTAAACCAAAACTGCCAACTGTCGGCTATCTCAGATCGGTCTCAGAATAAAAGAGCACTGACTGGCTAGTGATTAAAATGAGGGCAACCTACTCCAGAAATAGAGCAAACTTTAATTGTCTCAATCCGTTGCTTTTCGTATCAGTCTCGAAATTTATAAGGTTCCATTGTGAACCGCGGGATGTATGATGATTTTAAATAAGAATTCTTGAGGCACTTAAAGTCGCATGGGGAATTATCTATGGAATCTTGGGAAGATATATTCATTCCTCGTAAGATGGCGGAAAGGAGAGATTGGTACCTGTTTCATGTTTCTTTGTCCTAGACATCTTATATTATAAAATTTGGGGTCTTTGGCTATTAAAAAGATTTTAACATCCAGTGACCTTGAAAGTGGCTGAATAAATCAATTTCATAATATCGTCCTGATGTTTCGAAGCCTGTAACTTTAAAGGAGGTCAATGTCATTACTTTGGGAAAAAAACAACTAAAACATCATGCTAGCGCAATACATCACTCATATCCTGGCCAGGCCCCATCCTCATGATAACAGAGCAGATATGAAAATGGGCCTTTGTTTTTTAGATGATGTTTAAAGATTGAGACACTTGACCATGAAAGGGGATAAAGGATTAATTAATCTGAGTAAACTTTGTAGTCCGTCATCTCGGCATGTTCGAGCCCCTGTGTGCTGACCTTGGTCCTCTTGGTCGCACATTTGGTCCATGTGACTAAATCCCAGCATTCAACATTACCAATATCCTGACCCTGATCCTTTTCGTTTCTGAGAAAATGACAAAGCCTAAATCAATGCGTGTCGTGCAGGTTGCGTCCATGTCTTATAAGCACTTACTGCTGGTAATTAAAAGTGCAGATACTACCGCTTTCCAATACATTTGAACATAACTATAATATAAACTCAAATTCAATAAAACTAGGTCAGGACAAAGGAAAGATGTACACGGATACAATATGTGTTCCGGAAGATTAAAATTTTCTGCTTCATAGACAACACCAGCCATGTAAATTTTGGCCAGTCCAAATACATGTAAATTGTGTCGCGTATCACACGAGAACAAAGTATACGGCAACGGAGCCAACAGGCAAAGGGACAAGTTTCTCGACGACCGAGATCTCTAGGACGATCATCACCCTGCAACCCTATGTTAGGAGTTTATTAGTTTACCTCTGGCACGAAAATCACGATTCTTTGGTAACGTGCCCTTGAATATCGGATATATATAAACACCATAGGACTTTGATCAGGAATGTTGATCATCTCCGTTCGATAATTTTTCTTCTCTCTCGCATAACAAAAAAAATCAACAAATGTTCTTAAGTCGCTGCAAGTATCAACTCAACAGTTTTGCAATCGCTTTCAGCTTTAAATACGAAGTTGATTCAAACATCCATTCCATACGTTTAAAAATCCCTATTGCTAAACACTGTTGCCATTGAACACAAGCTCAGATGTGTCGTGATGTTGAATATTTATGGAGTGAAAGTTCATTGGCATAAATGGTCATCCATGTTGCTTTTCACTATCGTCATCTAAAGCTTCAACTCTGATTAAGAGTAGTAAACATTTCAAAGTTTTAACATAAAGTCTCACCTGTTACTGATTGTGGTAGTTTGAAACCTCTATCATACGGTCATCGTTTAACCCAGGGACAGAGGCGCCAACGTTGTTAGGTGTTTCGGTGATATTTTTATGTCCGCGTTCTGTTCCAAACCTTTTAAAATTAGAGCCATTAGATATGGTTGCCTGTATTTTTCTGCATACGATACTATTTTCACAATTCCACCCATGCTCGGTGGTAATAAAATGTCTTGTGACGACTGGACCCATGCTAAGCATACCAAATATCCATTTAGTGTTAGCGATAATGCTTTTCCCTAGTGTATACTATCTAATGTTCATACCGAGTCACAATATTAAAATTTATTAATTACAAAGGGATATAAGCTTCCTTTTCCCTCTTTTCTTCTTAAGTAGACCGTAACATGTCAGAAGAACATTCAATTACTGTCAAAATGCGTGATTTCTTTGTTTCTTTTTCTTTTCTTTTTTTTGATGGGTGGACATAGTTCCATGTCGAGCTGGAATGTTTTGTTTCTCTATGACTTTCTTTAAAGCAACAGTTAGTCAAGAAAATAGATTGTAACTCCCGTGTATATCCTTGCCTTTGAATAGATAACTCTAACACATGCACAGATAATATATAGTAGTCAACCCATTGAAAATGTACCATACTCCCTTAACATAGGGCATTACTAATACAGATACGTCACTGAATTTAGAATTAAAGGTACGACACTCAACGAAATAATGATATACATCACGTCCATCATTCATTGAATAGATTGAATTATTGATCATTAAGACTTCTGTCATTGATGAACCCGAATAGGAAGGCTTAATTTGATCATTTACAATATAATTCTTCTTATCATCAATCATAATATAGAGACGTGTGTCTTAGAATGTTTTTGAGTATAACGCGCTTTAGTCAAATGTTGAATTTTAACTTACAGAAGAACATATCAAATAGTAAAAATGACCAATTTGAGGGCAAAAAAAGCTACTCGGAGTAAATGTAAATTCCTTTTTCAGCTGGATAACTTAACATATTCATTTATTTTCCCTTGAAATTCTTCAAGTAATCTTAGCAAATTAAACAACCCTTTACACCTCGCACTCAAATCCTCTCTTCATCTCCCATTTCCGTTATTAATATAAACGCTGTTACCTTAACAATGTATGTTATTTTTTTCTGTTTCTTTCTTCACTTTTATTTCTCTAAATGGTCGGTTCTGTGATGTGCAAGTGTGTTAATGATATATTATAATTATAATTGAATATATTAATTCTCTATTGTGTTATAGCATCACGAGTACCTATGCCAGCATGTTAATACTAATGTGTGGCGTGTTAATATGTGAAGCATTGTAAAAATGTAGATCACTTTGAATTGTTTCATGTTTGTGTTTAATTGTATATAATGTGAATTTAAAAATTCTGCTTATTTTTTTTCTTAATGCCGGCAAACATATTCAGAAAACAGATAGGCCGTACCGTCGGTTTTAATATTATAAATTCCATTCCTGTCGTATCATTTAAACGCTTTCTTTCTTAGTATACATTGAGAAAAGCGTTTGCCTGACTCTAAAAAACAAGTATGGCGACGTTGTGGATCGTGGCGGCAGCTGCTACGTGTTTAAAAGCACTTTTGATTCCTTCATAGTAAGATTTATGGCGCAAAATTAGTCTCATGGAATAATTTCGATCTTATTTTGCGTATTACTTCCTTGACAATCGATGTTAATCGTTAAAGACGATATTCTGTAATAGTTTCACCTGTTCACAGATCTTACATGTGTAACCCGGATAAAATACTAGCCGCAATATAAGGCTCGGGTAAAGAAACATTCTCTTAAGCTCGATCGGTTGAGCATCAGATTAGGAAGCCAGGGGTCCCGGGCTCGAATCTTAACGGAGGTATCGAAATAAATAATGATCTCAGTTATACAAGTATTTCAGTTCAGTTACGTACTGTACTCAAGGACACGTTACAATAAGAATATGTATAGGATCGGTGTTAGTACAATCATACATTTACTCTAAGGCATCTATACATATTCTTATAGAAACACGTCCCTATGGACTTGCCGAAATAGATTTATAATACACTTTTGGTTTACTAGTCAAAAGATAATCACAGCAGGATAATATCCACTAACATCGTGATACGGACATTCTCGGCTTTGTCTGCCCAGCAATGTGCGTCTTGTTGTAATGCTTGATCTAATTTCTTAAATTGTTGCAATATTTTAAATAGTTCATCCACATTTAAGTTATTTTCTTGATTCAACTATTGGGTATATACAAATTTGGAAAATGTTTTGTTAATATCTTCTTTAAAAAAAAAGGTTTCACAATATGAAAATTGACATTAATAGTGTAAGTCATTTTCAGTTTATGAACAATGGATACAACTGTATCAATAGAGTACTGCAGTCCACTCCCAAGTTATTATCATGACGTGGTCATAGTTTCCTATAGACCAGCACCACATCTTGTGATTATAGATGACCAATAAATATATATCTCATTATCAGAAAGCCTTCCTTTAGCCTAAAAGAAAATAAACCCAACTTTATCCAACCATAACAAAAATGATCATTCATAATGATTCATGAATATTGATACATTATTTTAAACAAAAATTCTCTTTTGCAAATTCTACAATTGTCAAATTGGTGCTCTGAGGAATGAACTTTGAGAACAAAATCAAAATACATATTTAGTTGCATTTTTTAAATACTTATCATTACTTAATGCCTATTTTTTTACACAAAAACAGTAGGTCAACTGATTTTGAAGTGCATAGAAACTGGTTGGCAATCACAAGTAAGCTGCCTGTGAAAAAGTGGTATTATGAGGTATGTACGACTCTAAAAAGATTTCATTCTGGTGCTTTTGACATTTTCCTATCTGTGAAACATGGTTCATAATAATTACAATATCATTATTGACATTATCGGGAAAAAAAGTTTAACATTTGTCAATTGTTTTCTTGCAGAACCGATCAGAATGGACATTGGATTACCCCCCTTTCTTTGCTTGGTTTGAGTTTGCTCTGTCAAAGGTAGCATATTACTTTGACCCAAAGATGCTCATTGTCAGCAACTTATCCTATGCGAGTGATCAGACCATCCTGTTCCAGCGTCTTTCAGTCATTGTCACAGACTTTGTCTTCATATATGCAGTGACTAGGTAAATATGTGTAATGGATTTAGATCAGGCTGTTTACTGATCTCCTGTTATTGTACTTTCATTTCATTTATTTGTGAACGGTAGAAATAATAAGTGAGGTGTTCACCATATGTCAGGTAGCAAAATGACAAAAACTGACATAATTTGCCTTGGGGACCAATCAAAAGAAGCACAATAGTTAAAGGCTGTTTCACATCAAGGGTAATTTAGAGTGTGTTTAACTCAATAATTATACTGCCAACAAAGAAAAGTCATAAATAAGTAATGCTGTCAGCTTCACAGCAAACTTTTTTCTACCAGTAATACATTTCTAAACAAGTGAACACCAAAGTTAAAGTGTATGCATAGAAACAGAAAAAATGCTGTAGATTTTCACAAGGTTATATGAATAATTATTTTCAATGATAAGGACTCCTTCATTTGTCAAGAAAATGTCAATGTTAACATCTCTTAACAGATGAATATTTTTTCATTGTAATGATTCCAATCTGATTTGAATGAAGCATAAGGATATAAAAGATAAGAACCACACGATAGACACAACACACACTGTTGCTGCTATTTATTTATCAGTTTTAATGTCATTAGACATGTAGGGAGTAATTAGGTATCATTGTAACATTCAGATTATTTTCAGGACTACAGAGTCAGACACATTTTAGGGCCTTTTCTCACATGTCAGTGCTCTAGTTATAAGTTGATGAATTATTGGTCAAATCAGCCCAGAAATCATGCAATCCTTGAGTAAAACTCATTTAAATGTAAAAATGATTTCTTTGTTCTTATGTTATACCAGTCTTAGTAAATGTGTGAATTCTCTTTATTTTTTCTGAAATTAATCATCCGCTCCTTTCGATGTAGAAAAGAATGAAAGTATTTTTCTAAATTCAGTTGTTTGTAAAGTACACAACTGATCTTTCTTTTCAGGTTTTGCTCCAAGTTTGTGAAGTTACGACGTCGAGATGAGGATGATGATGATGTCCTGGAGAATCCAAGTGTGGTGTTGGGGGTTCTTCTCATCTGTAACTGTGGCCTTCTGATGGTTGATCATATCCTTTGTATTATGGCTGTCCCTTGATTACTGTCCTAGACAGCTGTTAACTGTAACAGGATTAATCATCATTTATCATCTTATCATGAGGTGTTGGAGCTTTCTACACTCCAGAGTAGACATCTGTATCCCTACATACCTTAGATAACAATGCTATATATTACAGAAACCTTAATTTATGTTAAAAAAAATGAACTGGCAGAATTGTGTTAAAGCTAAACTGCATTCAGCTTTGGAAGGGTGATATGTTGATGTTCCTTAATTTCTAGAGATCACACTCCGCATTCCACTACAGATTAATATAAACATCAAGGTGTTGGTTCTTCTGTCCTTTAATTGGGAATCACATGGAAGATTGTTATGAAATATTCTAAATGATCAGGATTTTCTATTTGCTCCCTTGTAAAAGTTATCAGATATCTAAAAGAAATTATTCAAAGTACAATGAAGTAGTTTCTCAGTTTTTGTGTTGGATAATTTGTATTCCTTAGCCTGCAGTACACATCCACTTTCAGTACAATGGTTTCCTGTTTGGGCTGATGATGTTGTCTGTCACCAACATGTATGAGGTAGGCAAATCAGTGATGTTTATCCGAGACCAAATTGGACTTTAGAAAGTGAGACAATGATATTTTGAGAGAAATTTGAGATTAAAGCTATACATTTTCAAGGCATATGTGGAGGAATTATAGGAATTTAGGAGGCATGTGTAAAAGGTTTGTAAAACAAATGTATATTAAAGCAAAAACATATACTGTCTAACATATACCAAACTTTAAACTTTGATTGAATTCAGTAGGACAATATAATCATTAAAAACATACATCTGTATACCCGCAGTTCATAATCTGAAGAGGTGATGATGAAGACGATAAGCTAAGTATTTTCACTACATTCTGTTTCTTTTTGCAGGAAAAATACATTAGAAGTGCCTTCTGGTTTTCTGTGCTGCTCAACTGTAAACATATTTATCTGTACATTGCTCCAGCCTACTTTGTCTATCTGCTCAGATGTTATTGTTTCCAAAGCACTGCAGGTAAGATTCTGGTGTGAGGTCAAATGTCAAGGAAACCTGAAGATGTTTGTATGTATGCGTCATTAAAATTCTCACTTGTCTTGAAAAGCTCTTTTAGCTTTGATATTGTGGATTTCAAAAAAAATTGAAAGCAAATTTCAAACACCTAGATAAATTACTGCTGTTAGCCTGTATGGATGTATGTAGAGGACCATGATGTAAAAGAAAATCAGAGCAACCCACCATCCCTCCTACAAAGCAAAAAAAAACCACATGGTCAGGTAGGTGACCCTATGCCTTTTCACGTTTTACAAAAGTCTAGCGTTACATTATTTGGTGAAAGGCAAGCAGACTGACACCTGGATAGTAGTCCTTAGTTTAACATAGATGAGCTGATGCTTCAGACTCCAGCATTATAAAATCTGTTTTAAAGTGACTTCAAAAGAACAGTTCAAAATAAATTCACTATTCACAAAATGATATCAAGTATCACGTTATTATTGCTTGTTTTAGTCCAGCAAAAATTTCATGTTTGCATCATATTTTGTTCAGTTTTTTAACTTTTGCATTATAATGGTGAGTAAATTTGTATCAAAGCAGAATATAAAAAGAATTTTGAAAAAAAACAAAACATTACAACATCATTTTAAAGTCATTGTTTTCCAAGATCTATTTCTAATATGTTGCATGTATATATTACAGATGGACGGATCAGGTGGCTGTCCTTTTCACCGCTACGCATCATATCTCTGGGAGTGGTTGTCATCTCAGTCTTTAGTCTGTCATTTGGACCTTTTATTTACCTTGTATGTAACTACATACATACATTTTCCTTGTGAAAGTCCCTAAGAATTACAATAAGATTTTTTGTTTTGTTTTCTGGTGACCACCTTCATAAATGACAGTGAGTTACCTCCCTTCTACCAGACGGTAAAATAATGTACCTGGTAGTATTCAAAAAAATCTCTCATGATATGGAAATGGATGTGAGATTCTGTTTATACCATAACTTAGATACTTTAACAAGCATTTCATGGGGCTGATACCAAAGCTAATTTGGTGATATTCATACTTAATAGCTCTGTCTTCGGTGATATCACAACATGTTTTATGTCTTAAAGTTAATACATTGCAATACAAACATTGAGAATCTTCAGATAATCACAGGTCTGTTATGTCTTATCACACATGTGTAATAACAAACATTTATATAATAGGTGTTATTACACTCATAACAGGGTAATTTTGTGATATTGCTAAATTTAACCAATAAATTTACTAGTAACATTTTATTTTTTTCAGAACCAACTTCCGCAGGTAGTATCCCGATTATTTCCATTTAAAAGGGGACTTTGTCATGCTTACTGGGCTCCCAATTTCTGGGCATTGTACAATATAGCTGACAAAGGTGCTGCTATTGTAGGTAAGGTTCCTAAATGCTTTGATAATTTAGATATCAAAATTGTGATTTAAAGTGCAATTATTTGAAGTAATCATCACTAAAATGGAGATACATATTGATACTGTTTTTTGTTTTTTTAAAGACGTCTTAGCAAATAGAATGATTAGTTTTTACCAAATCTTAATATGCTATGATATACTCAGGAGTCCTTGTGTGATCAATTTGGCCTAATTACATAAAGAATTCTATAAAAACATACCAGTTGGATACTTCTGTTTTTACTTCCGTTAATTATAGCCAAGAAATTAGAGCTGGTTAATATTACAACAAACGAAGCAGTTATGACCGGTGGATTGGTCCAGGAGTTCCAACATTCTATACTGCCCTCCATTCCTCCTGTAGTGACCCTGGCAGCTACAGTCTTGTCTATAATGGTAAGTACTGCTAATAATGGAAGTAATTTTTTTTATCTACAGACACATGTAAAATCACAATCTATCAACAAGACGTGGTATGTGACTAGAAACATTTGACTTTAGTCGGAGTATTTTATTTTCATGATTATACTTTTACTGAAAAGGAAAGTACTATCATAATTCTAGGAAAATGCTTACTGGTATAGTTTCTTCCTGATGTATAATCTTGATGAAACTAAAATAGACAGATGTATTAATGATGTTCCAAGAATGAAGTTGGGAAGTCATGCACTCTGTGTCATCAACAGTTCTTATTTATACAGAATACATGATCTTAAAACATCAGCTGTATTTTGGTGAAGGTGAAGAAAAACAACAGTGATGAGTCTTTGGCAAGCCCTTTTTTGTCTTCGGGAGCCAAAATGCAGCTTATATTTTTAAGACACTGACCATGTATTCTATTTATCTATCACAATTTATTAAAAGTTAAGACTGTCAGTACTTTTGATAGGACTGTAAGTCTTTAATTACCAGATGTTGCTGTTACGCTGAATTGTACCCAATGATGTACGCCAAACCCATTGCTCCATGCAGTTCACACTAAAAAAGATATAAAAAGTAGTTTTATGAAATTTCACTTGCAAACTTGTTTGTTACAGCTAAGAAAATTTCTCATTTAGACAGTTATTCAGTCTTTAAATAAAATATTTAAGTTAATCAGAAAGTGATTCTGTCAAGTTAATGCACATGCTAAAATACAGCTGTTTTCTGTCTCTGCCAAATGCTTGTGTTTTAAGACACTGACCATGTATATTTACAGATGTGAAGATTTCGTTTGACTTTATAATTAGTACATTTTTGATTTTATTTAAATCTGATATTTCGTATTAAAAGTCTCAGGTTTATAGTTGTAGTGTAGATCACATTATCTACCATATATGAATAATCTGTATTGTTCATCAGATGACTTCTGTGTAAGAACTTGAAATCATGGAAATAATACAATTTCATCCACTTTAAGTTACTGTGATTAAACAATATTAACCTAATGTATTCACAATCTCATCTATAGATCCTCTCATTTTATATAGAAAAACATATATTAGAATTACCAGTTTATAGTACCTTGTCTTGACTGCAAAGCTCATTATATCTATATTTCAGCCAGTGCTGCTAAACCTTTGGTGGAGCCCCAAGGGACCAAGGAGTTTCCTAAGAGCTCTGATCCTCTGCGCATTTGGATCTTTTATGTTTGGATGGCATGTACATGAAAAAGCCATCCTCCTCATCATACTTCCTATGAGGTAGGTGTGACAGTGTTCAGTGTATAGATGCCAGATTAGCAACAGTAGGGTTGAGATGTCTTGCCTTCTTACCCTATTAAAGACAAGATGGCATGTCTGTTAATTAAGGAAATGGTAGGTTCATTTCTACATGTTTAGGGAAGTCAGAGAAGTGAAGTGTTGTCCTTCAAAGACAGCAGTTTTCTCCCTGAATGTATTTTGTTTCTTTTTTGTTTAAATAATTACTTTCTGTAACTTTCAATTTTTTCTTTTATTAATTGCTGTATTTATTGTGTTTTTAAACCTTTACAGTTTACTGGTGGTAGAAAAAAAGAAAGATGCTCAGCTTTTCCTGGTTCTCTCTACTATTGGTCATTACTCCCTGTTCCCATTACTGTATTCACCTACAGGTAAGATATCATAAATCTAGCGATCAGATCTCATCCATCCTGTAATCAGATAACTGTCATCATGTAAGTAGATATCATCATCCTATAACCAAGTCAACTCCGCCTTATGTCTAATTAATCTCCATCTTGTTACCAAATTTCCTCCACCCTGTAACCAGAACTCCTCCATCCTGTAACCAGACCTCCTCCATCCTGTAACCAGAACTCCTCCATCCTGTAACCAGACCTCCTCCATCCTGTAACCAGAACTCCTCCATCCTGTAACCAGACCTCCTCCATCCTGTAACCAGAACTCCTCCATCCTGTAACCAGACCTCCTCCATCCTGTAACCAGACCTCCTCCATCCTGTAACCAGATCTCATCCATCCTGTAACCTAGTCACCCATCTGCTGTAACCAGACCTCCTCCATCCTGTAATCAGATCTCCTGCTTCCTGTAACCAGACCTCCTCCATCCTGTAACCTAGCCACCTACCTGCTGTATCTAAATCACTTTCATGTTGTGACCAAATCAATTCTCTCCTGTAATGAATTGCCTCCAACCTGAAAATAAATAACATCTCGTGTATGTTCCCTGTTTCAGAAAGTGTCATCAAAGTGGCACTGGTGCTGATATTTACTTTGTATGCGTTCACAAGTTTGGGCAACATTTATAGGTAAGTTCTTTAGGATTATTGTCAGTTGCCTGATTGCTTTATCCAGCTATCACATAGATTTTTAGCTCACCTTGCCCGAAGGGCTGAGTGAGCTTATGCCATGGCGCGGCATCCACCATCCATCGTCTGGCATCAACTTTTCCCTGTAAACAACTTCTACTTAATAACCATTTTACAAAATGTTTTGATATTTGACTGGTATGTTCCAAGCAAAAAACCAAAAGAATTATGAAAAGAGAAATGACCTTGACCTATTTTCAAGGTTACATGGGTCAGATATATTAAAACATTTAAATGCTGTCTTCTCATGAACCAAAAGGCCTAGAGGCATGACATTTGGCTGGTATATTCATTTAATGAAGCTTGATAAAGTTTGGGAAAAGAAATGACCTTGACATAACAAGGTCACAGTGGGGCAAATTTTTTAAAGCATTTAGATGATGTCTTCTCACAAGCTAAAAGGCCTACAGGCATAATATTTGGCTGGTATATATATACCAGGTGAATGCTGCAGGCCCATTGGGCCTCTAATTTAAGTGAAGAAATTATGTAGGACCTTAGTTATTTTCAGGAATTCCATTCAAACTATGCAGGAGAACACACTAATAAAATACCCAAACCAATCCCTGCAACGGCTATATAGCACTGAACAGCAGTTTAACAGTATTATGTAACCAAATTTAGATGGCATTCATGTATGCTATGAATTCCATGGCCAGTTAAAGATACAGTCATCATATTTCATTATAAGCTTGTACTTTACTTTGGATATTGATAACATCAGGAAATTTAATGTTTTATTGTCTGATCAATAACACCTTCCAAACTGATGAAACTTTGATGATTCTTCTTTCACTAATGAAATTACTCAAATATACAATCATATAGTGGTGTATAACTGGCACACCTACCTCTAATCTCAGGTCACCATTTTTGGTAAATTTTGTTCAATTTTTCTTGCTTGATAGTTCCTTACCTGTGAACAAGTAACCTAACAATGGAAATAAAGAAGAAATACTATTCCTTCTGTAAGAATGATTAGATTTTGCCTAAATTTGGTCTGAAGCATTCTTGGATGAAGGGCAATTAATTTTGTATTAATGATGGGTCTTGGCACCTAGAGACTGGAAGGGCAGGGCTCAATAGGGAAAATACCGCAAATTCTAAGGTCCAACTCCTCATGTAGGATTGATTGGATTTTGCCCAATTTCATCTGAAGCATTCTTGGGTTAAGAGAATCAATTTTGTATAAATGATGGGTCTTGACCCCAAGAATGATGAGGCCCAATAGCAGAAATTGAGCAAAATCTTTAGAATCCTACACCTTTTGTAGGAATGATTGAATGTCGCCAAATTTTGACTGACTTTTCTTTTAAATTGTTTAAGTTTTGTATGAAAGGTGGGTTAAGGTGCCTTTGGGCGGGAGGGACAGGACCCATTCAAGGGGAAATAGAGGACATTCTTTAAAATTCTTCTTCTGTATGAACGGCAGGATTGTGTTCTGATTTTTTATGAAGCTTTTATTGTGTGGCTGACCTAAGGACAGAGGGGTGAAGCCCAGTGGGAAAACAGGCAGGGTGTATATCATGTTGTTAGAATATGTGTGATAGATATATTCTCTTGTATTTCAGATTCCCCTGGAGTATTCCTTTACCACTTCTATCAAAATTAGAATCTATATATCTCCTTGGCATCATACCTCTGGAGGCATTCAACAGTATTGGACATCCACTGCTCGGGCTGTCCCAGTCACTGCCCTTCCTCCCTCTCATGTTAACTTCAGTGTACTGTGCCTTAGGTGTAACATACTGCTGGCTTAAATTCTATTGGCTAACATTCCAAGAAAAACCCCTGGTACATGTGAAGTCACAGTGAGCTCTGTGTCACTGATAACAATAGTGAGTTTAAAATCTCTGAAATAACAGTGAGCCAGGCATTATTAATGAACTTATGAATGAATTAAAACCAGGATGTCTGTTATTGGAATGATAAAATCATCACACCATGTTGAGGATCTAAACATCTTCAGTTTGTTATACATTGTACCATGTTTGACCCAAAGTCTTGGCACAAATCCTAACCCAAGGTCTATATATATATATCATTAATTTTTCTTTTTTTTTCATACAAAATGCTGCAATCTGATTGGTCTAAAAAAAATTTCATACCTATGGAAAAAAATAATAAGCCACGCCCCCTCTTCGCCGGAACTATGAAAGATGGCCGACGTCTTCCCACTGATCCGATTAGCTGGCACGCGCGCCCTCATTTGCATATCGTTCAGTTCATGGTTATTACGCATATATGAAGTGCCACTATTAAATTTGTTTAAAATTACTTATTTTTATGTTTTATTTTAAACTTGATGGATTTGAAATTAATTATAAGCGTTGATGTAATTTTTTTAGTTTCATAGTGTTAGAAAAAAAATTTGTTTGCAAACTTTTGAATGAATCTGCGTACAGTTTGCAATTTTTTTTTCATACCCCTATGATACCAAAAAAAATGACATCAATGCTTAAATAAAAAAACTGCAAAGAGAGAGCCAAGGCTTGTAGTTTAGAGTTCAGTGATGTTCAGTCATCCACCTCCTGGATACCTAAAGGTATGCAGGGCGTCCCACAAGGAGAAATAGAAATCTAGGGATATATATATATATATATATATATTTATATATATGTATTTTCATTATAATACATATATAGACAGTGGGTTGGGAATTTGTGCCAAGTACTTGTGGTTAGAAATAAAGTAGTACACTACACTTACAGAAAACTATTTACAACGAAAGTTTTTTACCTGAAAAATTTTGAGACTTGGGTTTTTGGTGAGAAATGGGAACAAAATTTGAATCTGAAAGCAATTTTACATTTCAGCCATATTATTTATCCTTTATTAAGTTGACATATGGGAGGTCAATGAAGCAAGTATGACTTGTATGGACTTTGATTCAGTGCATCACTTCAATCCTCCCCTAAAAGTTTATGTATGCTAATAGGGGTAGATGCACTTGTTAGGTCATATGATACTATATATACCTCTGTAAGCTACTTCACTCCTGTTTGTATGTATTATGAAAAATTTATAATGGTTATAAAATATATTTTGTATGATTTTCTTCTAAATTTATAAATAAAACATCAATTAAATTTTTGCTTTGGTCATGAATACGAGGTTGGGCTTCCAACCTGGTGAGAATGTTGGTAATTATGATTGCAAGACTTTGTACTTAATTTCCTTTTTGGTTATTTTAGACTTTGCATAAAATTTGAGATCATTTGATGATCGGTTGAATAGGACCAACTCACCATAACTAACTATGCAACAATTCCCCCATTTTCATGAATCTTCCTTAACTTAGGAAATCTTAAATTACCTTAGAAAAGCATGACGTATGTTAAGGAAAATCTGAAATGCAAGGAAATTGTAATGCTTGCCTATGGGCAATTTTAAGTTAAGGAAAATTTGTGAAACTGGGTCTATATACTGAAGTATGATTCGGCAGCTTATATACAAAGATATCGTTGTAATCTGTAAGGTATATTTCTGTTGACATGAGTGAACATCGAAAGATATAATACAGAAACCAACACAACACACTCATACAAAAAAGAATTTTCGAAAATATTTTCTGGTGATAAAAGCTTTTGAACTTTGTAATTTTGCATTGAAGAGCCATAAATTTGTTGACTGACAAAAAAATTGTGTACAGAGAAATATCGAAACATTAATGTCAATGAGAAAATTGCCTTATAATTCACTGTGCTGGTCACATGAGGGTTTCGTAACTTAGTAATTGTAATTTATGTGCTGGTAACCATGAAGAGTAGACAGATCGTGTTTGAACAGAATAAAATACTAGCGTCACAAAAACCTCCAAGTCTTTATTTATTTATTGGATAATAATTTGTAGGGTATACACTGAGGTTATTGTTGGAGGTCACTCGTTCAAAGATTGTCAATTGATGTGAAATTTACTGTTATACAATTATTTTTTTTTTCTGTCTTGTTGTGTAATTGCTAAATTTTTGGATGGACTATGTCCTCTTGAGACAGTAAAATCCTTGTACACTATTATGTAACATTTCTGTTTTAATATCTCACACATTATTGACTAAAAACAGGTTTAAAGGTTAGCTGCGGTGAATGGGTGACTGTCAAACACTCTCTTGTTTAATTTTATGTCCAGGTATGGAAGGGTTTGATATATTTTAACACTCACTTTGGCGCCCTACAAATAGGGAACACACTTGTGAGAAACGCCCCAATGTCTGAGGTTATCTTTGGGATATGAGGATTGTGATGATACAGTATAAATCTTCCCTGCCCTCCTTCAAAGTAGAACTTGTCCTTTTTTTCAAAAAAGAAATGCAAATTTTGACTTTTGATCTCAGAAAAAGTTCTAGTTTTTAATACATGTACCAGTAACCTATTTTATGATGATAATTCATATCTCGCTGTGGATGTGCTATAATGTATCCTGTAATTTTTGTGAAAAAAAAATGCATTTTCTCTTCATATGTTTGTTGACTCGCCACACAACTTGTATTGTTTTCCTTAAAATGATGTGTAAATATTTCATTCTCAAGAGTAAATTTTAGTTTTGAAATTGATTGGACGAAATCTACCAGAAATAAATCAGCCAGATTTCCTCTGTTTAGTTGACAACTATACATGGTACCTATCGTGTGATAAGATGAGAATTATTCTGTTCAAAGCTGGCCAACAGTTTGAAAGTCCAAAAACAATATTATATTTATTGTGAAATCTGCCTCGTGGTTTTTCGTGAATTTTAAACATTTATCATGAATGAAAATGTGGACAAAAGGATGTAGTCTATGTTCACAGGGAGGGGAAAATTCATGTTACCTTTCTAGTACATTAATATAATTCCATAGTCAAAATGTTGTTTCTTCTTGTTACATTTTAGCTTTTTCATACAACTATTATGATCAATATGCCACTTAACAATGAGTCTTCATATCACAGGACATGAATTTGTTTTTGTGGTGAGAATATGTACAGTTTCTGTGACTATCATTATAATATTCTAATCCACTGACTTGTATTTCATGCCCAATTTGTTGAAACATTTGCTTGAAATTAAGTACATTGTACTTAAGATCCAGATTCATCAATTAAGTTTTTCTCTAATTGCTTATTTTTTAAAATTTGGTACATGTAATTTGTTTATGATCTCTTCAGCAAACTTTCACTTTAAGTACACATTGCCCTCGCCCGGCCAGAAAACCCAAGTGAGCATATGCCCTAATGCAGCATCCATTGTCCGTCCACCATCTGTCGTCCTTCTGTTTGTCCATCTTTCTCTCAAGTATCAACTTTTCTATTTGAATGACTTCTTCTCAATGACCAAAGTCTGAAAAGCATATTCGCTGGTAGGTCTCTGGGGTCAAGTCTGACAAAGTTTGCCAAAAGAAATGACCTTGATACATATGCAAGGTCAGATTTGTCAAATTTATCAAACCCTTTAAACAATTTCTTCTGATTAATAAAAAGGCCTAGAAGCATGATATTTGACTGGTAGATATTTGGTATAAAACCAGACAAAGTTTGCTGAAGAAGCGACTTTGTACTATGTTCAAAGTCACAATGGTCAAGTTTGTCAAATTATGTAAAAGACTTCTAGTAAAGTAAAAGTTTGGCTGATAGATCTCTTTGATAAACCGGAAGGCATAGAACCATGATGTTTGGCAGATGTATATCTAGTATGAACTCTGATAAAGTTTTGAAAAGAAATGACATTGACTTATATTCAAGGTCACAGAAGTAGTATTTGTTCTAACACTAAAACGACTGATTATGATTAACCAAAAGGCCAAGAAATGATATGGACTTGTAAGTTACAAAGCCTGACAAATACCATTAAAACTTCAAACAATTAAAAATTCTTCTGATCAACCAAAAGATCGAGATGCTTGATATTTGGCAGGTAGATCTCTCTGTGATGAAGTCTGACAAAATTTGCAAAAAGAAATGGCCTGGAATTGTTTGCTAGATCACAGGGGTTGAATTTGTCAAAACCTGTAAAACACTTCTTCTAGTAAACTGAAAGTCATAGAAGGAAAATATCTTAGTGGAAAGGTAAGGTCAAACCTGACATTTGAGATAAAAAAAGAAAGAAGTGACATTTACCTTAAACCAGGTCATAACTGCCACTGTTTAGAGCTGAGAGTTCGATTTAGTGGATATTGGTTGAAACCCAGTTTGAATGCCAATGGAGCAAGTGTTAATGAACTTGGTATGAACATTGAGTGTATTTTTATATACCAGACGAGCGATGCAGGACCTTTGTGCCTCTTGTAATTACAGTGAAACAGGTTAGGAACATCCTTGAAATATACACTCATTGTTGAAATTCCAAAGATTATGAAGAGGAACTTAGTGATCACAATCTTTAAGAATCTTGAAGATATGAGACCCTGTCCTTTGCTGTGTTAGATATGAATAATCTGTAGTTAAATTAAGAGGGTATAATGTCTTAGTTACTGTGACATTCACCTCCCTTTTCTGAAGAGTTCCACACCCACTTAATGATCAACTGATGACTTAAAATATACACAAATATATGATACTTATTTATTACACTTGTTACTGTATATCTCGTCATAAATTATATAACACTTATCAGGGGCAAGGCGTTCAAAGCCGTATTGGCTTAACGTTTACACTGAAACTCTAAAACTGAATGACACTCTAAAATTGTAAAAAAAATATTACATATGCAATTAATTTTTCTTTTCTTCAGATGATTATTTTCAATTTTTGAAAATGATTTTGGATTCTTTGTTATTCTTTTTATTCAAATTAGGCAGTAAATGGTTTTGTGTATTTTCTTTAGCTTATCAGCATGTAACAATGAACTCTTATTGGTTAACAATATTCACCTGTAGAACTTTTTCAGTCATTTTATGACCAATACATTCACATGAGCAGAAGAGGACAAGGGTGACAGGACAATTCCTGCACTGGTTTAGATACTGGCCCCTTGTCAGGAGCTCAAGGGGCCTTGTAATATGTTATAAACAGCTACTTGACACCTGTGGGATCTGTGATTGTCAAATTGGACGACAGGTATTGCCACATACACAAAGTTAATGACCTATTACAGCTCTTAATAGTGAATTACTGGGTTTGTTTCTGTAAGACAATACTGGGTTAGCTTACTTCTAATTGAAGCAAACATTAGAAACCAGTGATGTAGTATCAAACCAGATTTTTAAAATCAATATTTGAATACTGGATAGGGTGACACTATTTAATGATCTTCTCTATAAACAAACTAGTACTGATATTGATATTTTTTGGTCTGTTTTTGCAAACGTGAAAATGTTATAATTTCGGTGAGAATAGTTGAATTACTGCTAAGCTGATACATTTTCATTGCTGATCTAAACATGACCAAGCCTGTGTAGTGTTGAGAGGCCAGGCTGTACACCTGTGTGTGTTTGGACAGAGGGGCTGGGAACGTAAACTCTCCGTCCACTTGTCCACCTTATTGAAGTGTTGACCTTATGTTTTAAAGAGGTATGAAAAGTTAAGGTATTCTATCATCGTAGTTTTGATGTTTGAAGAATCGTTAGCAATTCAATATATCCAATTTATTTATAGTTTGATTCAATGAACACATTTTATCTCAAAGCCACTCTTAATCTACAACTATGATTAATTTCACAACCTCACCAATCCACCACCAAATGTCATCTTCCAGACCCACTGATAATCCCCAAGCAAATTGATCACGGCAACACTTCACCACTAACAGCCATTCATTCAAAGCATCAATTATTTTCAAGTCATACTGATACACAACACTAATCTCCCAGCCATACTAAAACACACTGTTGATCTCCCAGCCATACTACTACATTACACCACTAATCTCCCAGCCATACTAATTCACTACACCACTAATCTCCCAGCCATACTGATACACTACACCACTAATCTCCCAGCCATACTGATACACTACACCACTAATCTCCCAGCCATACTGATACACTACACCACTAATCTCCCAGCCATACTGATACACTACACCACTAATCTCCCAGCCATACTGATACACTACACCACTAATCTCCCAGCCATACTGATACACTACACTACTAATCTCCCAGCCATACTGATACACTACACCACTAATCTCCCAGCCATACTGATACACTACACCACTAATCTCCCAGCCATACTGATACACTACACCACTAATCTCCCAGCCATACTGATACACTACACCACTTATCTCCCAGCCATACTGATACACTACACCACTAATCTCCCAGCCATACTGATACACTACACCAGTAATCTCCCAGCCATACTGATACACTACACCACTAATCTCCCAGCCATACTGATACACCACACCACTAATCTCCCACCATACTGATACACTACACACTAATCTCCCCAGCCATACTAATCTCCCAGCCATACACTACACCATACTCTCCCAGATACACACTAATCTCCCAGCCATACTGATACACTACACCACTAATCTCCCAGCCATACTGATACACTACACCACTAATCTCCCAGCCATACTGATACACTACACCACTAATCTCCCAGCCATACACTAATCTCCCAGCCATCTCCCACCACACTAATCTCCCAGCCATACTGATACACTACACCACTAATCTTCCTGCCATACTAATACACTACACCACTAATCTCCCAGCCATACTGATACACCACACTAATCTCCCAGCCATACTGATACACTACACCACTAATCTCCCAGCCATACTGATACACTACACCACTAATCTCCCAGCCATACTAATTCACTACACCACTAATCTCCCAGGCATACTATTACACTACACCACTAATCTCCCAGCCATACTAATACATAACACCACTAATCTCCCAGCCATACTGATACACTACACCACTAATCTCCCAGCCATACTTATACACTACACCACTAATCTCCCAGCCATACTGATACACTACACCACTAATCTCCCAGCCATACTGATACACTACACACTAATCTCCCAGCCATACTGATACACCACACTAATCTCCCAGCTATACTGATACACTACACCACACTAATCTCCCAGCCATACTTATACACTACAGCCATACTACTACACTACACCACTAATCTCCCAGCCATACTAATTCACTACACCACTAATCTTCCAGCCATACTGATACACTACACCACTAATCTCCCAGCCATACTGATACACTACACCACTAATCTCCCAGCCATACTGATACACTACACCACTAATCTCCCAGCCATACTGATACACTACACCACTAATCTCCCAGCCATACTTATACACTACACTACTAATCTCCAAGCCATACTGATACACTACACCACTAATCTCCCAGCCATACTGATACACTACACCACTAATCTCCCAGCCATACTGATACACCACACTAATCTCCCAGCCATACTGATACACCACACTAATCTCCCAGCTATACTGATACACTACACCACTAATCTCCCAGCCATACTGATACACTACACCACTAATCTCCCAGCCATACTGATACACCACTACTAATCTCCCAGCCATACTGATACACTACACCACTAATCTCCCAGCCATACTGATACACCACACTAATCTCCCAGCTATACTGATACACTACACCACTAATCTCCCAGCCATACTTATACACTACACCACTTATCTCCCAGCCATACTGATACACTACACCACTAATCTCCCAGCCATACTGCCATACTGATACACTACACTACTAATCTCCCAGCCATACTGATACACTACACCACTAATCTCCCAGCCATACTTATACACTACACTACTAATCTCCCAGCCATACTGATACACTACACCACTAATCTCCCAGCCATACTGATACACTACACCACTAATCTCCCAGCCATACTGATACACCACACTAATCTCCCAGCCATACTGATACACTACACCACTAATCTCCCAGCCATACTGATACACCACACTAATCTCCCAGCCATACTGATACACTACACCACTAATCTCCCAGCCATACTGATACACTACACTACTCCCAGCCATACTGATACACCACTACTAATCTCCCAGCCATACTGATACACTACACCACTAATCTCCCAGCCATACTTATACACTACACCACTAATCTCCCAGCCATACTGATACACTACACCACTAATCTCCCAGCCATACTAATACACTACACCACTAATCTCCCAGCCATACCAATACACTACACCACTAATCTCCCAGCCATACTAATACACTGCACCACTAATCTCCCAGCCATACTAATACACTGCATTACTTATATACTTAACCTTACACAAATAAGAAACAATCTTACATTGATAACATTTAGAAGGAAGATACTTATATGTGAGTTAATACTCTAATTAATATATGCACGTGTTTGTATTGGATATTGTATACATTGTATTGCAGTTACATTTTAACGTCAAACTCAGGGGTGCACCAGTCGAACAGGTAAAAGCTTTAACACTCAACACAGATTGCGTAGTATCATTCTCCAGACAGGCGGAGTTGAGCAGCAAGTGTATTGTTTAACGACATAACCACATCCTGTCTTCTACGAATCTCAAACTATCAACACGCAAAGCTAATAGACCAGTGCATTTACAACTGTCTGAAATAATACTGAAAATATGTAGAATTTTAAGACAGAATTTTTACTAGTATAGTTTTATCGTACGAAACTGAAGAACCTTTCAATGTATAGTTCTAATTTAGCTGTATGAAAGAACATTTAACGATGATAAGTAGAGCCTGACGATATATAATTTAGTGTAGCAGAATCTCATAGGTATCGGTGCTAAATAGTAGAACCGTAACATAAGTAGCCCTGCTACTGGGCTGAACGTCGGTACAGGACAGAAACGTTGGGAAACTTATTGTACAGTGCTATATGACAACTTCAAAGCACCTTTTGATCTGGTCAGACTGGAGTAATTTAGTGGTAAGTGAAGCTTTGTAACACGGTTGTAATAAATCTACAAAACCTTTCTACCTGGTCACAGGTGCACACTCAGGTGACCTTCACTTGGGCCACAGCTGTACAAGGTTTGGCAACGAGGACCATAAAGATAATCTCGAGCACCACGACCAAACTGCAATATTTTGATAAAAATACGGAAATCTGACCTAACATGGACACCTGTTTAATACGTTTATGAGGGTGTGACAGTAAAAAGTTAAGATTTTATGAATAATGAATTATGTGTTCGCACGGTTGTGACTCGATTGTCTGCTCGATAACAAAATTCAGTACAGAGATGTAAGCTTGCAGTTCCAATGCCACCTCTATGGAAGCCTACGTTGTGGTTGATGTATTTTACAATGTTTACTATTTGTAATTATATTTTTATTTTAATGATTCAACTCTATTTCTGTCGTAAAAAATCGTGAGAACTTGTCTTAGTATGAGCACTTTGTGTACATCTAAGGAACGGAGAAATCAAAACCGTCCTGTGGCGCAACGATTGTATCCTTGTTCTACACAGTACCATCAATTGCGTCGTGAATTATGTGTTTGTTTTAATAACTCATCTCTATTTCTGTCGTAAAAATCGTGAAAACTAGTCTTAGTAGGAACACTTTGTACCTCTGGGAACCGAGAAATCAATACCGTCCTGTGGTGCAGGGATTGTGTCCTTGTCCTACACAGTACCATCAATTGCGTCGTGCCTCCCTTAACTTGTTCTGTGGGGGTAATCATCCACTACTGCAGTTCCACATTTTGGTTATGATTGTAAATTGATCGAATGTATTTCAATCTTTAATAAGACCGTCTTTTCCTCAAAATATATTCCTTTTTCTAAATATTAGGAAATCGCTAATTATATTTTCAGACAATTTAAGGAAACCTACCCAGTTGAAAATACCTGAAAACAACTGGACCCGATCATTCAAAGGCTGATTAGAGAAAAACAGTGGTTAGTGAAAATTATCAAACATGAATTAAAAAAAGTATTTTTTCTTTACCATTTCACTGCTGTAGTTTTGTCGAGAGAGGTTAGACTGATATATTTTGATTAAGATTTTGAGCAACCGGGGTCAGATAGTCAATCTGCGAAGCTTAAACTTCTTAAAATGAACGGTAATCCACACTGTACTGTTACAACAGAATACACCAAAAGAAAAAAGAAAGCAACACAATAGTATGTTAGTAAATTTAAATCGTGTTGTTTTAGTAGTCTAGACTTTCTCGACCATAAAATGGATTTTTATCATCGGGGTGTGCTGATATTGCCCCATAGACCGCAACATCCATTATCCAGTTTAGCAATCGTCGGGGCGTGAGCAACGGTATATTTTTGTACTTGTGGCACAATCCCATCTTTAAGGACTTCCTTGAACAAATATTGATAGCAAACAATACTTCATTACCATTTTTGCACGAAATGGACATTAAACATGAATTAAATCAGAAAATACGTGAATGGACTGTTTGAAGTTTAAAGTGATAGAAGTTTTGTGGGTTTGTTTCTAAAATGCTGAGAACACGCCAGAAATTGTGTCCTTTAGTCCCGTTAGCTAGGATATAAAATTTGTGGAGGATCATTGACAGACCTTTTTCTCGTTCCACGACCAGTAATTTAAACTTGATTGTAATATTTATTTATGTTTGATCATAATATACAACTCCGGTGGTTGTAAAACACCCATCAGAAACTCGTCAACAATTTACTGTCGGTGGAGGCCACGTACGGGATGTCATCAACGGTCTGACAAGTTACACTTATACTGGTCGTGGAGTACTTGTAATTAATCATTTTAAATTTCTTTCAAAATCAATGATAAACAACTGAACTGAAGTAAGATAATTCTATTTTCTGCCATAACCATTCGTTTGTGAAAACTTAATTTCAGGGTCTTTAAAATGATACTTGTCTTCGTCTTCTTACTTTTGCCGAAAAATGGTAACATTTCTGAAAATAAGCTTACACAATTACAACATAACAACATTAATGTGCAGTTATTCACTTACGGTAGTACCAGGATCTATAATAAAATACACTATCAGTAATACAATGGACGATCTCAAAGAACAATAACCCGTGTACAATACCTACTTTACATCAGTTATACAATGGACGATCTCAAAGAACAATAACCCGTGTACAATACCAACTTTACATCAGTTAAACAATGGACGATCTCAATCATGTGTTCGTCTTTCATGTCACGATAATTTCTTCATAAACAAATGAATGACAATGTTGATGACTTGTTTTTAATCTATAGGTGAGCTCTTATTACACACTTAGGTAAGGGATGAATTATCAAAATTTTTAAATCTCGGGAAAGGACATTGTCAACGTATTCCAAGTACCATGGAAAGCATTTTTATTACGATGGAACTTCTAATTATTATCATGGAACGACCTATCTTTACCATGGAACGACCTATTATTACCACGGAACGACCTATTATTACCACGGAACGACCTACTATTACCATGGAACGACCTATTATTACCACGGAACGACCTATTATTACCATGGAACGACCTACTATTACCACGGAACGATCTATTATTACCATGGAACGACCTACTATTACCACGGAACGACCTATTATTACCATGGAACGACCTACTATTACCATGGAACGACCTATTATTACCACGGAACGACCTATTATTACCATGGAACGACCTACTATTACCACGGAACGATCTATTATTACAATGGAACGACCTACTATTACCACGGAACGACCTATTATTACCATGGAACGACCTACTATTACCATGGAACGACCTATTATTACCATGGAACGACCTACTATTACCATGGAACGACCTATTATTACCACGGAACGACCTATTATTACCATGGAACGACCTATTATTACCATGGAACGACCTACTATTACCATGGAACGACCTATTATTACCACGGAACGACCTACTATTACCATGGAACGACCTACTATTACCACGGAACGATCTATTATTACAATGGAACGACCTACTATTACCACGGAACGACCTATTATTACCATGGAACGACCTACTATTACCATGGAACGACCTATTATTACCATGGAACGACCTACTATTACCATGGAACGACCTATTATTACCACGGAACGACCTATTATTACCACGGAACGACCTACTATTACCACGGAACGACCTATTATTACCATGGAACGACCTACTATTACCATGGAACGACCTATTATTACCACGGAACGACCTATTATTACCATGGAACGACCTACTATTACCACGGAACGACCTACTATTACCATGGAACGACCTATTATTACCATGGAACGGCCTATTATTACCATGCAACGACCTATTATTACCATGGAACGACCTACTATTACCATGAAACGACCTATTATTACCATGGAACGACCTATCATTACCATGCAACGACCTATTATTACCGTGGAACGACCTACTATTACCATGAAACGACCTATCATTACCACGGAACGACCTACTATTACCATGGAACGACCTATTATTACCATGGAACGACCTACTATTACCATGGAACGACCTACTATTACCATGGAACGACCTATCATTACCATGGAACGACCTACTATTACCATGGAACGACCTACCATTACCATGGAACGACCTATCATTACCATGGAACGACCTACTATTACCATGGAACGACCTATTATTACCATGGAACGACCTACCATTACCATGGAACGACCTATCATTACCATGGAACGACCTACGTTTACCATGGAACGACCTATTATTACCATGGAACGACCTAACATTACCATGGAACGACCTATCATTACCATGGAACTACCTATTCTTACCATGGAACGACCTATTATTACCATGGAACGACCTGCTATTACCATGGAACGACCTGCGTTTACCATGGAACGACCTATTATTACCATGGAACGACCTACTATTACCATGGAACGACCTATTATTACCACGGAACGACCTATTATTACCATGGAACGACCTATTATTACCATGGAACGACCTACTATTACCATGGAACGACCTATTATTACCACGGAACGACCTACTATTACCATGGAACGACCTACTATTACCACGGAACGATCTATTATTACAATGGAACGACCTACTATTACCACGGAACGACCTATTATTACCATGGAACGACCTACTATTACCATGGAACGACCTATTATTACCATGGAACGACCTACTATTACCATGGAACGACCTATTATTACCACGGAACGACCTATTATTACCACGGAACGACCTACTATTACCACGGAACGACCTATTATTACCATGGAACGACCTACTATTACCATGGAACGACCTATTATTACCACGGAACGACCTATTATTACCATGGAACGACCTACTATTACCACGGAACGACCTACTATTACCATGGAACGACCTATTATTACCATGGAACGGCCTATTATTACCATGCAACGACCTATTATTACCATGGAACGACCTACTATTACCATGAAACGACCTATTATTACCATGGAACGACCTATCATTACCATGCAACGACCTATTATTACCGTGGAACGACCTACTATTACCATGAAACGACCTATCATTACCACGGAACGACCTACTATTACCATGGAACGACCTATTATTACCATGGAACGACCTACTATTACCATGGAACGACCTACTATTACCATGGAACGACCTATCATTACCATGGAACGACCTACTATTACCATGGAACGACCTACCATTACCATGGAACGACCTATCATTACCATGGAACGACCTACTATTACCATGGAACGACCTATTATTACCATGGAACGACCTACCATTACCATGGAACGACCTATCATTACCATGGAACGACCTACGTTTACCATGGAACGACCTATTATTACCATGGAACGACCTAACATTACCATGGAACGACCTATCATTACCATTGAACTACCTATTCTTACCATGGAACGACCTATTATTACCATGGAACGACCTACTATTACCATGGAACGACCTGCGTTTACCATGGAACGACCTATCATTACCATGGAACGACCTACTATTACCATGGAACGACCTACTATTACCATGGAACGACCTATTATTACCATGAAATGCATTATTATATTCATGAAACGCCTTATTATCAACATGACACGCATTATCAGTACCATGGAACGCATTAATTTGCCCTTTTTGTATTTTCACCGCAGTCTTATTTGGTGACATCGATTTGCCATGTGTTTTGTGTTTTCACCGCTGCTACAATATCAATTGACTATGATTCTTACAGATTTTCGCCGCCACGTCGATGATTCTATTTGAAAATATTAATTACGAATACTTGTTATGACGTCACAGTCCTTTAAGTGGTCTATGTTGTCAGCTGTTGCGACTTTAAGTGTACGAACAAGAATACATGTACATACATGTTTCACATCGACCATTCATTGAAATTCTAACTCCAGTTTCATGAAATTTCTTGAACTCGTTTTCCTTAATTGTTAACTTTTTTCTGATGACTGACTTAAGCTGAAAGAAGAACTTTAGTAGAATTGAATTTTGGATATCTTATGGGGCTGTGAGAATCACGATGCCGTTTCTCCCACCTCGGTATCGACTTGTGTGCCAATCCTACCTAGGAATGTGTGTATGGGGACCTGGTTGTACATAGGTGTTCGAAATCAATGTGTAATGGTTTGCAGAAAATAGGATCTTTAGTATAAATCGTAGTTTTATCACAATTACGTTTTAAATCAACCAATACAGACCATAGGTACAGTTAACTGGGGAAAATATTGAAGTTATGAGGAAGGATACATTCAATGCTTTTCATGTCATAGATAATGTCATTTGTCGCTCGAACGTACGAATTTAGTCAAACAAAACACTTATCTGCTATAACAAACAAAGGGCGTTAAGATTTTTTAAAGTTTTGATTTATGTAATTTTAACATATTTCCTTAGAACAGCTATAACATCCTCACGTATCTATGTCTAAATAAATTGCTTCCAATGACTTGCAATATATGAAATTGAACCCTCACCATCCCTCCCCTAAAACAAAGGGTATATCACTCTCCTTTGAATTGGGCAATTAAATGCTTGTTCATATATATCGCCCAGATAATCACCAGAAGGAAATTTATCGTACACGTCAATTTTACTTACTCGACACCACCATAAATAATGGCGTATGTTTGTATAAGTGTATACGTCCGTTGAACTATCACTAATAGAGATAAAGTTTTGGAATAACTGCTCGCTGAGGGCTAAATTGGCTGTGATCCCGTGCCTATTACAGGTTAGAGCACCATTTTAATGCTCAGTAGTGGTCATATCTCATTTGTGTCGGCTGTGAAAATGTCCCTTACAAACACATATTGTGCCAACAAACCGGCTTCGTGTGATAAAATTATCGTTTTATATATTTACATATAAATCATAATTTCTAATAGATATTGTCCCGTTAATGCATTTCATTGAATATTAGTTCCTTAATGTTCTACTTATCTAATTGACAACAGATTAATGCATTTTAATGCATTTTAATACATAAAATCGCAAACAAAAAAAAAACAAAAAAACAAAAAACCACGGATATGCAGTCTAATAATAATATCAGAATTCGATGCATTAAAACTAAATAACATTCAATCTCCACTAATGTTACAGCTGTTTGATCCGTCTAGGACTCGTTACTAAGACTAAGTTCCTATATTGTTGAAGCCTAGAAAGTCACTAGAGAAGCAGGTAAAGGTAGCAAGCACTAGGTAGGGAGGGTGTCTGACGCCAAAATTCAATAAATTTTATAATTTTCAAAATTTAATTATTTCTAAATAACGTAAAGTATACTTGTATATTGTGAGCCGGGCCACCACTACTGTGGTCAGGAGTTATACATGATAATTATTAGTAAATAGAATTATATTATTTTACTATTATTGATCAAATGAAGCGAGATTCTGTGAATTGAGATATTGGCAGTTCGTGATCCTAGCAGAACTTCAGGATTTCGTGGCCTGCTGTATTTCAAACAGATGCCAACGTAGAGAGTAAATAAGGTTTTGTATTATACGAAATAGTTAGTATTTTCCCGTAAAATTCCTTATACATGTTTCGAATTCCGAGTATACTGTTCAGACTCCTAAAGACAAATGACAAGACGTTTTCTTTCAGCATCCCTGCAGTCGCTTACCTGACAAACGTTTTGATGAATGCGATATTTTTGAGTAGAATTTATATGACAATAAAAAGTTTTACTGAAAAATATGATAAAAAAATTTAAAATCGTAATGAAAGCATTTTTATTCTTATTATAATAAAATTCCGGTATAAATAGAGGTGAATTAAACACAGACGATCAAACTTTAGATAACAACTGACGAATTAGTGAAATGCTTGTCAAATTACTGAGTTATGGTTCCCCAGCCGACGATACAATGCAAGGTTGTTAACGCTTCCAAGAAAAATAATGTAGAAAGTGTCATTTAGACAGACATTTAGTTCAAATGAAATAAAATGTCTACTACGACAATCAGATTATGATAAAATTACATTCAAGTATGTATTGCTTCATTATAATTTGGTACATTAAATCTCCCGACACAGGGAAAGTTTCTTATGCATTTAACACCGAGATTAGATGTTTTACTATTGAAACAGATGTCATTATTTATGCCGATGCCTCCGCTGGGATTCGAACCTGGGACCTCTGGCTTACTAGTCTAGAGATTAAGGCTAGTATTTTAACCTGTAATCAGCTTCTACATTGAAGAATCAGTATTTTCTCTACAGAATCGTTGTGATTCAATTAAACACCAGCACGACTATTTCCTGGTATGTACTTTTTATATAGGTACTTGTACAGTAGTCCTAAATGTACGAGTTGGTGTAGCACAGAGGAAACACCCTCGGACCTAAAAAATCCACATCCATTCTGTTCCCATAAGGTATGACACATTTTTAGCTCGGTGAGGAAAAATATAGGATGTATACAATATATGTACAAGGAAAGGTGAACAATTCCACAATTGTTGTTTTAAGGCATGCCAGTTCTAACGTCTGTAACACAAAAACTCAAAATTGTATCACAAAAAGGGATATACCATCATAGAAACGAATATTTTTACTTTAAAATGAGGTATGGATCTGGACTTTTCCTTCACGAGACGTACCCAAACCACAATACACATAGAATATCTGAATATTGTTCAGTCGGGCATGAGTTCATGACCCAATCCACTCAAAATTTCTTAATGAGCAGTAATTGTTCCACTGCATCTACGGTAAAATGAAATTTATTTCCAAAATAACATGACAATGAACTTATTATGGTGACTATGAACGTATTCTCGTGTGTTGGTCCTCATAGCGATTCTTTACTCAGTAACGAATGACCCGAGACAGGAAAACACTGAAAAACTAATATGAAACAAGCGATGTGATTGGTCCGACAATCTGGCAGGTGAAGGTCGTTTGTAAAAGAGTCAATCTAATCCCTTGTTTCGGATTAGTTTTCAATGAACATCAAAGAAGACCAGCGGTTCCGGAAGGGTAGCCGTTTTCACCTGACGTGTGAATCTTCGTCAATCAAAGTCAATCCAAGTAAATAATGTCCAATCAGAACAAATTTAACATCAACGACATACTATTGAACATGTCTTACCTTATATCGCACATGGAAATGGAATATTTCCCATTGACTTAATGGTGACAACCATAAAACTTCAGATATACCTATGTCACGTAAAAGTGGTATTGGGCACAAACCCTTCAACTCCATAGATCAGGGAAGCAGTGATGTTACTCTGTGTGGACATGAAAATTGATGATTGGAAAATCGAACTCATCAATGTAAGTAAATTTCATACATTTCATAATTCCATATGACAACACATAATCAACATATAAAAAAAGTGAAATTGAAGCAGCTGACAAGGTTGTTCTGCTCTGTTTTGATGACCTTCTGTAGGAAAATCGTCAGCAACAATTTTATCACATGTTTGATTTAGAAATACTTTTCACGAAACAGGCTTAAGAATAGTTCACAACCATAAACCTGTATCGCCTTCACATTTCTCTGATAAAGGAAAGTTCTCAAGACAAGAGAATGAAGACGTTCCTTTTATTAGAATTGGATTGTGGTGGTGCACAGAGTGGCTAAATTTTCTCATATCGCTGTTTAAGTTTGGTCAAAAACCCTTTTCTGGAGTAAAAAGTAACCTAATCATGCAGCCCTGTTTAGATATTACTGAGAATGGTAGTAATAAGCTTGATGAAAGGTTTGATTGAACAATTAGACAACCGTTGTTTACATGTGTTTGAAGTTAATGAATCCAATATAAACGAGGGAGGTCCGTATCCTTATAATTTGCAGACATTGTGAATGATTGCAATGCTTAAACACTGTGAGCTCGAGTTCTGTCTTTGGAAAGATTGTATTATGCATAGATAGTTTTGAAACTTGACATATTTTAGAATGGATTCAAATGTAATTATCACGAATGCCTTTATTTGACATTAATTTTTATTATATATACATATCAGATATATTAACCAATTAAGAATAATTGTATTTAAGATCTACATTAATCTTATCTAGTGACGTGTCATTAATATTTATTAAGTCAGAGTTTATTACTTTCTCAAATAATGATAAACATTGATATACCTGTAAAATAAACGCATTCTAAGCACTCTTTCAATTCCAAGGCGTTTGTAGCCGAGAATCTCAGAAATTTATCCATTGAATCAAGAAATTTTATTTTATCTGTGATGAGTTTCATTGACTCTCACCCAGGTAATGTCATTAATATTCCAAGTATTGCGTTGTCAATCAAATGTCGATTACCGCACTCGCTTTTAAATTGACCAATCACAGCTCTTGTTTTAGAATTACTCGAGATAGATTTCGACATTTATTGCACCTAATACATCTGTATGCAAACAAATCTAAACTTTATTGACAAGGAGACTTGCTACCTCGGGAGAGCAGTACCTAAAAGTAGAATACTATCACCGTCCAGAGTGAAAAGAACCCACAACTTTACCTTGAGGTGTCGTATTATCTCATGTAAAACAAATTTTTGATATTTTTTCTCTCAATCGAAGGCGAAACTCTCATCAATAAAATGCACGTGGAAGAAGAATGCCAGTACGACTCTACCGAGTTGAGAAGAACACTAACTAAACACTCCATCGATACGATACTAAGGAACGAGTCCAGTCCTAGAACAAACTCTACGGACGTACAAGGAGACGAAGACAAAACAGGTAACTTTCATATTCACAATTTGTTTTATTCTGTGTTTTGTTTGACTTTCAAGATGACAATTTCGAAAAAAAGGAAATTTATGTTTTTGAAACAAGTGCACTTACTGACTTAACATATTACAGACGATTTCTGATTGTCGTCGTGAAAAAAAAATAAACGAAAGCAAATCAAGAACGAACATCAATTTCATGTGGACTCTCATGATAAACATAGCTTCTAAAATAACTGTCGTGTTGCGTTTCAATCCTACCTCGATCACAATAATTAATTTATCATTGGTAAAGGAATAATGTTTTAGTATTGAACACTTCCTCAATCAGCATTTTTTATAACTGACAACCTGATGTATGTTTGTTATTTTTAGAGTAGCGTGTGTGACTGTACGTACTACCGTGTGCTTAAAGAAGGAACGTTTGCAACATGTCTAAGATTTATTTATTTGTGTTTGATAAAGCTCCTCGTTGTTGACTAGTACTGGTTGATATGAGTGTTGGTTTTTAAATAAAACTTCTAAATAAAACAGCTGTGCCCATTTATATTGACAAACCACTTCTAAATATTCTTTTCAGAATGAATGTTTTGAATGTTATTGAAAATCCGGATGATAAAACGAGCCCTGTTTTATGATTTATTTAAACAAAACTAATTTGATTTTATTGTGAGTACATAAAATTATGTAACGATCAACCTCGAAATAACTCTACTTCTTTGATTTTACTATTAATGTTGCTTTTCACTGCCATTCTGTCGAACTAACCTCGTGTACGCACGTGACAAGTGGACGAATTCTTAATATGCACATGTTTGACGTAGGAATTATCTATCCACAATTTTATTTATTTGTCTTTCATGTATGCTGGGTCTAGATTGACCACATTAAAGTTTTAAAAAAAAATAAATTATTGGTTACAATGTAGTCTATAGAGTGGAACATCATGACTTCACACACTTTAAGTTTGACGTCATTAGTGCAAAATGTTTAAACATCCGGTATTTCAAACATTAGACTTAACCATGGTCAATAAAAAATCAAATTATTGCCACTGAAAAAAACGAGAACATTAGATATAGCATTAACACTCTAAACATTTCAATATGAATTGTCTCAAGAAACCATCAGCTGTGAAATCATAAAGAATGTTTCCAATTTTGTTAAATTAATGTTTTAAAATTTCTACTAACCGCTGGTTATTTATAGTAACCGGGACCTGGTTTTAAGCCAGTTCATAAAATTGTTGCATTCTTTTTCATTTCATATGAAACGGACGAAATTTGTCGCCAATATGCATTTCTTTGGTCTTGGATAGTTTTCAAGATCTCAAATAAATTGAAATCATATAGACCTTCGATTTGAAATCTTAATTGAAAAATCAGAAACATATATGAATTAATCTCAAGACCATTAATGTTAAAAGGGATTGATGATACCGTGTACTGAACGAGGCTGATTGACAGGGAATCAAGCTTGAGAAGTTGATCGTTCTATAACAGTAAACTCACAAAAGTCGGAGTTTGTTGTTCTCTCTATAACGAGAAAACGTTAGGTCAAATTCTGTCAGTAAACTGAATATAAAATCCAATTGATTTAGCATTATAACGTTTTAGAATTTGAATTTTAATGTAATTGTAATTATCAGTATTTATGTAAATCTGTCATGATTTGCAGTCTCTTTAATTCTATACACACATCCTTGTGCTCTCACAAACTATCTTTGAATTTGTTTACAGATTTTGTTAAGTAAACCCTGCTCCGCATTAAAACTGCCATACCCTGACAGCACGCCAGGCTATAGTGCATATAACGGCATATCAGACCCCGTATAGATAAGGCAATCAGCACGACCGTTCACATCAGTAACGGATTGGTGTGAAATTTAACTACACCGAAGAGATAGTTCAATATTTTAAAATATGACACAGTCTAAGAGATAACATGACAAAGTAAACTTGAGATTTCGTCATTATAAATTCAATAAAATATTGAAATCAATTACATGACTAACTCTTCCGTCAATGTGAAAGAAATATCTTTTTGAAGTTTTATCTCCGAAAATTAAAAGAAGACAACCCTACCTATGTCTACAATACTTGGACCTGGGTCCCCCTTTCATCCCTAACTGTTAGTTTCGTACCATTTAACTCTTCAAAAGAACCACTTATTTGTAATGCCCAGCAACGCAGTTTGCTAAATCATTTCCACCCGAGAAGAACCAAGATGAACAATTACTTGTTATGAGGTCAAACCAACAAAATAAATCACAGCTGGGCTATTCAGCTAGGTGTTTGAACATGTATGATCATTTTGTGACGTCGTATTTAAGCCATGTCATCACTTCCGGTTGTGAGATGAGCATCAGATGTGGTTCTAGAACTGTCAGATTTGTTTGGAAACAGTTTGGTTTTGGCACGTTCGCTCCAATTGCTCCGAATCTTGCATTAGTTTGCTCATTGGCGGATACACATGTTTTACAGAGCAAAGATTGATTTGTTGGAAGGTAAATCGATTAGAGGATTTTGACACTCGACACCTGCCTGAAATAGTATAAGCTTGATTGATTTATTTTAATTTCGTGTAAAATATAGGATATTGTCATTTTTCCTTTTCTGCTGTCTTTGATTTGCTACATATTGTTTTCTCGATTTATCGCTTTTTATTGTTACTTGGTGTATTTTTTAACACTCTCGGTTAATAACTTTCATTTTTCAGTTTGATTTCAATTTTAATTGACCTATTTTGTGGAAAACTTTTTCGTATATAAAAGTTACCGTTGACGGATAGTTTGTGACGAGACAGAATTAAATAGTGTGTTTGTTTGATGAAAACAGAACGCAGGAATAGAATGCATATATTAACCTTATTGTCGGAACTTCCTAATAACAGATACTTCTGGCCATTCGGCACAGTCGTCGGCAGGAGAGGATTCCTTTCACAGTAGCGGCGAGGAAAGTGACAATTCAAACGAAAAGGACAAGGATGATGAACACTGTGACGTCACGGGGAATGGCATCAATCGCATGTTGCATGGTAAGTTTATCAGCATAATACTATGTAACGGTGGTGTCATAAATTGTTTTTACACGGCCATGAACACATTACGGCCAGCGTCATTGTAAAGCTTTACTCACTTTTGTGAATTATCAGGTCATCAACAACAGCTGTCAGTTAAATATTATCACTAAACTTACCCGTGAATGTTTACCTTTGTATGGTACTAAAACAGTGTAACTCATTTCCTGGTGTCAAACGTCGCTGGAAAGCACATCGGCACTGGCGATACCGAAACTTTCTTGTATTGTATTTTGATAACAGAGAGCTGTTGTTGTTTTTATCACTTTTGCCAGACATTGTGTAATGTTGACGTGCTTACTTTGAGCCATGCTTACATTAACGATGTTCTTAAACTTATCATATGATAAAAAAACTCACACGGATCTCTAGTTATAAGTTTAGAATAGAAATGAGACCGATTAAATGGTTGTGTAGTAATGTATATGTCACACGTATTACAGATGAGACAAGGAAGAAGAGACGGATACGAACTACTTTCTCGGCGGATCAGTTGAAAGCTTTAGAGGAAGTGTTTCGTGTTACTCACTACCCGGATGCTAATGCGCGGGAAGAATTGTCGGACAAAACAGGTCTACCAGAAGCTCGAGTTCAGGTCGGTTATTTCAATTGCTCATTTACTCATCCTTTTTCAGCAAACATATACCAATTAATTATGTTGATTAGAGAACGACGATATTATATATATGGTGACGCCATACCATTTGTAAGTAAAGTAACAGATATGGTGACGTCATGCAGTGTATATTATGGTGACGTCATACCATTGTATGTTACAGATATGGTTTCAGAACCGCAGAGCGAAATGGCGCAAGTACGAAAAGTTGGGAAACTTCGGTGGACTTCAGGACCTCCGGGAAACCGAATTCGTTCCGGCCCCACGTTCGTCTATACGGACCGACGATCTCCAGACAGGATCTCCAATACAGGTACTGTGAAGCTTTTATATTTTTTTCAATTTCCAGTTACCGTTTGAATTGGGATAATGCACTGCTTGGAATTATTTATAATCTTTGATAAGTTTTAACGTATAATAAGCTATTTGTTGTCGTTGAGTTATATAAATTGAGTACATGTACAATATTTCTTTCTTGAGCGAATCTTGAAAAATCATAATTTAATCCTCTATTTTATAATGACGTCATTTCGCGATGCCACCATTAATATTTTCTTTTTTAATTGGTATTCTCTATTTGCCTTACCTACAAAACTGATAATTACATTTTGATAGATGTTAAGGTTAACAATCTTTCCCGCCAAAATGGAATAAGCTGTGTACATATACTTTCCAATTAATGACTATTACATGTATTTTAAGCAGCATAAATAAGAAATACAAAACGTCAATATAAGAAATATTTCCCGTTTTGTTTATCGCCGGGAAACTGCTTCAAATACACACGCTAACGCGCGTTGTTTAGAGTCTCTGTAACAAAAGAGCTTCAATACAAACAATGAATACTGAATGAACCGCGAAGGGGTTTATGCCAAGGGTAAACTTTTTCTGTGTTAACAAAGCGAATCCTTACTAAAATAGACAAGCACCTTCAAATATATACATTTGTAGCTTCGTAGTTTTGGAATTTATTGAGAGAGGTAATACTTTTTTGTCAGGAAACTTAATGAGAGTAACACGTCAAATTTATTAACTAAACACATTGTATATGTATCAGATAATCATTAAGTTAATTAGTTATTACTATCTTTTCAATCCTTATTTTAATTAATCCATGTCCTTAATTAAATGCTATCATTTTCAATGCATATATATCGAACATTCCTGACAAAACTGCCGAAATACTGACACATTTAATATTTCTATCGCAATATGTAATCGTTTCAAAATAATAGGATGCAGATCATTTACTTCTAAAATGTCAATTTCATCTAGAAAGGTTCCGTATCGCCCATCCAACAAATTGAAAAATCACCCTGCATACGATGTATTCGTTCTATTTTCAGACTACCATTTCAAAATGTTCCCAGGAAACCGGAAGTGACGAGTCTTTAACAGATGAAAACGGTGAACAAATCACACCTCTTAATCTGTCCACGTCGCCGTTCCCATTTTACCGAACTATACCGGTGTTCCCGATTCCGTATCCATATACAAGTAGATACATAAATATCGGCCTGGTGGAAAATCATCGAACCGGAAGCATAGCTGCACTGAGAATGAAAGCACGTGAGCACGAGGCTGCCATGGAGATGCAGTATATGTATAAATGAGACTCGTTGTGACACGCTGTGTTTGGGAAGGTGATCAGTTGTTGATAAAGATGAAAATATGAATCGTTATATATAAGGTACAGATATTTGGGTAATGAAACATATTTAATAATTCTTTAATGATGATGAACCATGGGTGAAGATATTTTATAGAATCTCCCACCTTAAGGGATCATCAAATGCGATGGCAAATGCTGAAATCTGACAGTGTTACATGACAAGATGTTTTATGAAACCATTAGGAAAGACATTTTGAGTTTTTGAAATCGACTATTACCGTAGTTTCAGCAAGATCCTGTTTTAATGTTGATGTTTTGAAGATGGTTTTTAGTTTATTCTATCAACTTCAACACGGTGATGGCAAAGTACACCTCCAGCATTTCGTTATATTTAATTTTATACCAGATAACATTGTCAGAAACTGACCGTTGTGTAGTATCTGTGATATTGAACGAAAATTCGCTGGACGAATTATATTTATACCTAGGTCCGGGCTGTGTTCCTGATCGTGGAGTCATTTACCGGGAAATGGTATCCAATGGGGAAAGGTTTTTGAAAGGAAATATTTATCATCACAGAATGGGTATATCAAAACGCCATATCCGACATCCGACATCACGGTAAAATGTTTTTGTTTTTGTTTATGTTTTTTGAAAAGAAATTGTTGCATACATATCAAGTGTATCGCCTTGTAAACAATGACAACTGAATTTCGATGAAATATTCACATAAAGAAATTGATTAGTTATTGTTAAAAGGAAATCCTTATCTGTTGATCAACAGTCTGGATATGTGTCATATAAGATACTGCATGCGCGTAAAACACTGTCGCCTGTAAACAAAAATTGATTCCCGTCTGAGTGTCGCAACAATGTTGGCGATTAATGTTACTCAGAACAAAATCTGGTGCTGATAAACAGGATTTTATTGACTGTGTCACTACTGTTGCTGTCATTTCTGATCGTCATCATATATTCGTGTTTACAAAAATGCACTGGCTCGTTTTCAAAACTGTTATGTAATGCTATCAGCGAGCGGGGTTTCCCGAACAACAGAAGTAGTCAAGCTGGACTTTGGAAATTAACTGTGAATACCAGGATAGCATAGACATGTAAATGGAATGTATAAAACACGTAAATCAATAACAATATTAATGATTTTACCGTGATGTCCTTGTTACGTCAGAAAAGTAATAAAACCAACACATATCAAAGACTGAAGCGTCATGTAGAGCATACAGGACAAACACAGCTTATCCACGTGGACCCTACGATCTGGAACTCGGTCAAAATATTGTAAATCGTGCTCCTGGTTCAACCTCAGGTGTTCTGATGTCTCGTTTTACTTTCTATTTCAGAAAACTTTCTAGCCAAAATCAGGCCAGCCAAGGGCTGTAAATCACGTGATCATGATAGTGTCATTTATAATACAGGGTAAAGAGGGTAGACAAATTGGTAAATGTTCTCGTATTTAAACAGGATTAAACATAACACTGGAGGTTAAACATGAGTACGGTTTAGAGTCAAGGGCAGTTAGTTTGTATAGTGTGCTGTATATCATTGTATGTTTAATTATAAAATATTTACCTCGATACCTAGATCGTATTTTTGTAGATGTCTTTTTTGGCATTAAAAGCAATCCAGTTTAGTGGCTTTGTTCGTCACCGTCTTGTTTGTTGAGCAATGAACGCTCTTAATGTTGAATTTGCCATTATCTTGTTGGCATTCCTATGCCCATGAATGCCAACTGACAGCAGTTCACTGCCTATAGTAATCATTTTATATTTTCATTTTGTTATATGGAAACCTCAATCTGTTTACATTACTTGTTATATTCCATCGCCGCTGCAGTTCATGAACTGATAATACACAAATTTGGTAAGATCACATCGCATTAATGTCATGCAAAGGTAAATACCCTGCTTCAAAAACACACGCGTACGCGTACACATGTACAGAAAATCCGATTGGATCCTGGAATTTGTTTTTGTTTTATTTAAAGCAAAATGCACAACCAAGGAAATAATTTGTAGACACGATTTATGGAGACAATATTACTTCCATTTTTAGTTCTTGTGTTCACCTTATAAACATCTTGTATAAACTTTACATGTGTACACGTCATGTGTTATACATTTTTGGGTACGTTTTATATGTGTACACATCATGGTATGAACTCGAACGGTTTTCTGTTGCCTTGTCCTTTACTTTCACCCTGGAACTGCAAAAGGAAGAGGAATAGGTGATAAACCGTATTGAAATTTCAATGTCACTACATCATGAATCAATGTGTAAACAAGAGACCAAAGGGCCTTTACGGTCACCTGTGTCACAATGCTGACATGTCATAGAAATAATTTTGTTAAAAAAGTAATATAACTTTAACAATATTGTACACATAATGCAGATGTAAATTGTGTGCACATAACTGCTGCCCCATGCTAAGACTTCTAACGAAGTTTGAATTAAAAGAAATTATACCAAAGATTTGATTTTTCCTATAAAACATCTTCCATCCAGGAACAAAAGAACATCTTTGAAATTCAATCAATTTGACCCATTTTTGGCCCCGTCCATCAGCCCCTGGGGGTCAAGCAAGGTCAATATGTGCATCTCATCAAACTGCCAGCTTATACTAATAACAAAAAAAAATATAACCAAGTTTGAACTATTCCTGAAAGAAAAGAAACAAATCATGGTCAAAAATGTAGATTTCCTATATAAAATATAGTGAATTATACCCCCTCCCAACAGGAAATGTGAGACCCTGTGGTCCTGAAATTTACAATTTTTACAAAGAACTGTCAGAAACTTTTATCCACGGATTGAAAAGAAGACTTTCGAAATTTCAGTCAATTTGACCAATTTATGGCTCCGCCCCTCAGACTCCTACGGGTTGAGGACCATATAATTTACAATTTTGGTTGTCTTTAGCCATGGAAGTTTTTTGTAAAATTTCATTGAAATCGGTTTCTCCAGAAGAAGTCGAAAATGTCCTTGCCTCGGGCGACTTAAAAACAATGAAGTATCTGGAAGCATAAACAGTCAATGGAAAATTTAGCGATCACATTCTAACAACACACGTGCACACACAATCTTTTGTACAGAGACCGTGTGATACAAGCAATAACACAGATAACACGTGATCTGTGCGCGGACATGCTGATCGTTGGGTTAAGGATTCGTGCCAAATCCCCGCGATATACACCATACTTGGTCTACGATCCAGCGATAGACACCAGACACCATACCTGGTCTACGATCCAGCGAAAGACACCAGACACCATACCTGGTCTACGATCCAGCGATAGACACCATACCTGGTCTACGATCCAGCCATAGACACCATACCTGGTCTACGATCCAGCGATAGACACCATACCTGGTCTACGATCCAGCCATAGACACCATACCTGGTCTACGATCCAGCGATAGACACCAGACACCATACCTGGTCTACGATCCAGCGAAAGACACCAGACACCATACCTGGTCTACGATCCAGCGATAGACACCATACCTGGTCTACGATCCAGCCATAGACACCATACCTGGTCTACGATCCAGCGATAGACACCATACCTGGTCTACGATCCAGCGGTTAGCAGCAGCTTGTTGCATCTTCCTCATCTCCAACTCGTGTTTATCTCTCCAGATGTGTGGGAATTTAGAAATGTTCATCATGTACTGCTGATTCATCTGGTGTAAAAACACGTCACATATTACAACCAATCACGTTCCATGTATTGAAAATAATAATAGTAACTTTCACAGGCAAACAAAATAACGTTTGTAGTATAAAGAAAATCCGGGATTGGAGATGGGGGTAGTGATTTTTCATGGCCATTAAACCAGTACATGTATATACCTTTTCTGAGTTACCAAAACAGTAGCCTACTCCTCATCATTCTAACACATATTCGTTCACATTTTACACGTGCATTTCAAGTGATATGGCGATGTCTAACATATGATCGATCATCCCTGATGTATGTAGACATCTTATATCCACAGACTGAGACTTTCAAAGTTTTGCACAGGGTTGAAACATCACAAATTGATCTCATAGAGAAACTGCAACATTTCACATTTCGATCGATATATTATCGATTGAAATTCATAAGACCACAGTTGTGATAAGTATGTCACTGTACCTTCCACTCGTGGTTCCATCTGTTGTGATTATAATGTGGTTCCTTAGAGGTCAGCCTTTTCAGGATAGCCAGGTTCTCGTGGGTGATGCGTAGTAGCTCCCTCTGGCGCTTAGTCTTGTTCAGACTGGACAAACAAAGGTCAATAGACATTTCCATGAACGTGAGTTGATTTTTTTGGTTTTGGTCTATTTATAAATAATTATATTCGCATGCATGTAATTTGATTATGAGTTCAGATACCCGCCTTCCACTTCTTAATGAAAACCGTCGCTGTCAACATAATTGTCTCACGTAAACATACTTTTCAAGTCTTATGAAGTTTGAAGATTCTGATTACGTGAAATTCTCAACAGACACATTAACTTTTATCTCACATTGGCACTGGCATAAATAACTTGTGTAATTTAGTTACATCAGTGGTGCGCAAAAAAGAGAAACGGAGATGAAGTAACCTTTGAGCTCACCTTTTCCTCATATAGTCTTTATTTTGGCTGTGAACACGACCCCCAGATCTCATGATGTGCGCCATTCTCTCTAAAAGGATTCTGTTATCCCTTTCCACACTTGCTAATCGCTCTCCCTCGATCTGTTCAAATGTCGGTATAACACGTTCAGCGGTATCACAATATCCATTGAAATATAACAGGAACGAATTCAAGTGAAATTCAACTATTTATCATCGGTGTAGAAATAAATATTTTTAACTTTGCAGCATAAGTACAAAACGAAACTGATTGGAATATATCGTAAACATATTTTTACTAGAGTACAATGCTGTACACATCATGCACTGTTCAGATATAAGTCGCGTCTTTTGAACATGTCCCGAACTCTAACTTCGTGACGAATCTTTTACGACATGATATATTCAATAATCTGATTAAAATATAGGTCTTAATTTACCAATTTACTTTCCGTTCAAAATGGAGTGGTGAATTAAGATGTTAATCAGAATGTGGTATAGTTAACCAGTATTACATACCTGTAGCTTTTTCAGCTTGATGTGTAAATGCATGTACGTCTTTGGAGGTTTGTTATCGATTCTAGGTTTGGCTGAAAGATTAAATTTTTTTTTGCAAATTCATCTTCATGCTAATATATTGAGGACAATGAACAACGGCGCACATACCTGTTTTCAAATACTTCATCTAAAAACTAATATGAATGGACTTTTTGCACTACCGTTCATTTCTAACCTTTCCTTTTTGATAAAATTTTATGAAAAAATATTGAGAAAATTACACAAACCTGCTACAACCTTTCTTCTGTGTGTTTTGAAATAGTTTTCGTCCCAGAGTCTTTTCAAGAAGATGTTGTTCGCTGGTGTTAGAGGCTGGTAAGCCCGATGCATGACTGCTGTGGAAGTAAAATTGTCTCCACGTGAATAAAAAGGAAGAAAAGAATAAAAACCGACAACTACAAAATCAAACGATGCAGATCTGAGCGACGTACAAAGATGACGTCATAATACACGTTACGTCATTTTTATGGCTTAAAGAGTTGTCTCCCATATCCACCTGCAAACACTTAAAAGCTATTATTTTAATTTAATTTGTAAAGAATGGAAACGTGAAGTAACAGTCTTTTAATAACAGTCGTGTCACATCTTAAAACAGCTTATTGAAAGACAATCAAATCATTTTAAGAAAGTATGTTTGAAAACAGCACTTTATAGTTTGTATCCTCGGACCGACTTACATCAGAAGGAAGAACGACTGGCCCAATGTCAATTTACTCATAGCAGCCGTAATTTGTCGAAGATATAAATGCAAATCATTGTTGGTTAAACGTTGAGGTTATTATGCATCGTTTACAGCCATGGTCATTTTGAGGCGGGTTGCCTCGCTGTAGTAGGTAGCTATTTCACCAATAACATACGGGAAGTCCGTCGCATACCATTGATCTGTCGATGTAAGACATCAGCTAGAATGTGACTATCCTGATCATGACACGGCTGTGTAATTCGTTAAAAGTTGTTGATAGCTACAAGTATTGAATATACAACACATCCCCATCTTAATTTTTTTACACTTTTTCTGCAGAGGTATGTTAAAAAGTACATATGTATTGCAGCATTTACTTCCCTGATGTATAAAGTACACGATTGGACGGGTAAAACTGGGGTAATGAACCTGATCCTCTGTCGTTTTTCAAACGTTGGAACCATTAACGTTCACCTGAAAATTTACCAACTGTCAGCGACAAGAGGTAATTTCCCTTGGTTACAATCACAGAATTTATCGGAAGGGAGATAACTCGTATAAAACGTACATGTTTTTGTCCATGATCGCCTTAGCTCTCACCCTACATCTCGCCCGGAACTTGCATGGATTTATTCAGACTTGAGAGAAGATCCCTACATAATACAACATGAAGATATATATATATATGGCGGCCTGACACTAGGAAATTCTATCTTTGGTGGGATTTCATTTAACATTTTATAGACATCAATCAGTACTACTTTAAGCAACACAATAAGTTGGGGCACTTTATAGGAGATAACCTTGTTAGAGTTACTTCCCTTGTCCGTATGTCCAGATTAGTAAAATGAAATCAACGTTTCTTTTTTTTATCATAAGTATTTATTTTGCCTTGCAACACAAAGATGAATTAAGATCTATGGTCAACTGATGTGTTGTCAATTACGATATAACAAATTGATGATAACAATAACACAACTAGCATGAATTGTGTATATAAAGGACGAAAAACTTGTAGACATTGTTAGATTTGAGGTTATGACCATCTTTCGAAAAAATACCAAACAAACGAATAATATTTTTCCACGTTTTATTGTGCAAACAACATAAGCAGTACAACGGTGTCTACTCGACCAATGATATGGAAACGCTATATACAAAATTTTAACAACATATAAATAAAACATAGCCAGTATATCACAGTTCATAGCACATTAGATGGCAAGTCACTTACTCTACGTACATAAACATCCTGTTGAGCAATCAAATGGTTGTAATGTTCAAGTTGTAGATAGTCTAATACTGATGTGGTTTACGTCCACAAAGAGGAAAGTATCCTCAGAGCATGCGCACATTCTAGTGGTTCTACTCGGCAGTTTCCGTCATGTACGGAAAGTTCCGTAATGTTTGAAAGTTATGTGCAACTTTTTATGTAATAAATACTGTAATTTAATTTGGAATTCAAAACACACACACTTACGTTTAAAACTTGTTTTAAATGGGAAAAAATCAAGATACATATATTTAATTACTTTATATTCAATTTACATAATTTGATATATGTTTAATAATTCAATAAATAAAAATGTTCAACAGAATTAGAAATACGGTACAAACCTTTTTTATTCACACTAATTACACAACAAAAATATTTTCAGTTTAGCACTTACGTACTTGATCACTATTGCTAATGCTAGCTGACTTTAGTGCAATGTAGCGCTGTTACTGACCGGCTACGTCACCACTTACCATCTGTATGAAATCTAGCTGATTTACTTTTGATTTCTGCGCTTATTTATAATCTACAAATAATTTAAAACCATTGAAAAAACAAAAAGGAAACCTATACGATGAAATTTAAAATAAGTTTTACTGAAATGCAAGTTCTTTTCGGTAAATGACTAAATACTGGACGGTAAAGGTTCACGAAGGACTTTTCAATTTGTATTACACACAGTTGCGACTGTGTTCTTTAGGTCCTTTCTTAAGCATTTAATAATAATTATAAAAAAAAACACTATGATTATAGAACGAAATGTCACTACCTTGCTCTAACTCAAGCATGCCTAGTAAAACTTAACTTCGAGACGGCATCGATCCGATGGTGAATTACGACCTAGAAGGGGTTCTGTCTATCGTTCTTATAATAGATAAACAGAAAACAGGTACGGATACACATCAACACCCCTTCTTGTTTGAAATCTTCTCTTCGAAAAAAGGAAGAAGCGAAAAAATATGAAATGCAAATCGTATTTGCAAATATAACATGAACAAAAGATCTGTTATGAAACAAGTGAACAATAAGATATATCAACGACTTTCACAACGTATACCGTGTATGACAAACAGGTCCATAAGACTCTTAAAGTTTGCGGGGTTGCTATATAAAAACTTTCAAACTTTCGCAAATTTGCGAAACAAACGTCTTTTTGTAAGATATACATAGACACTGTCATCCAATAAATCTGTTTATTCGTTGAACGTACACTCATTAAATAATCACGATATCCCGTATGGAAAAGTTTATTTAAAAATATTTCTTTAAACGTGTTTTAATGGAATCTGTATGACGTTTCTCCATTTGTTAATGCATTATAATGCCAACACTTCCAGATGACCATTTTTCTTTACTTCGTACATAAAAATTGATAAAAGTTTCTAATTATTAACATGTTGGCATTTGAAACACCGGTCCGACTTTAGGATCCATTGGGAAGCCTTTGCGCATGCCCATGCAGTAAGCGGTGTCTATCTTGAGTGTATTTTCCTTTACAGATATGTCATGTTCCAAGGTGGCTTTTGTTTTCATAAGACGGCACAAGCTGAGTTCGGAGGCCTTCAGTCTCTCCTTCAGGATCCTGACAGACTCTCTGATCTCGGCAATCTCCCTCTGTAGTCTGTTGGACACAAATATGCATTGTCAAATATGGACAAAGAATGGATAAACTAAGTGTTAATTCTTTCATATTACAAAAGCTAATTTACATATGTATACACATGCTGTGTTGGATGTACAAAGTTTTCAGTTAAACAAGTATTAAAGTCCCGTTGAACATCTTCTTTATGACAAAATGGAGTTTGGCGTCATAAAGAGAATTGGTAATGGGCCAATTTAATTAAAGCCAGATCTCTCATTTCACTTCATATCTGGTAACATATGACAAGGTGTGCAGTACGAATTGGAATGAAAGACTTGATTTAATTAGATAAGCATTGCGAACGGGAGATACAAGAATGCCAACAAATAAAAGAAAATTCTTGAAAAGATATTGGGTGTTATAAAGGTAACAAAAAAAAACATGATACGTTAAATAGAATTTCTACAGTATATAAATGAAGGGCCTTGAATGAGGGACCGAGATCTGATGACATATACTCACGATTTCATGACGGGATCGTTACAGAGCTCAACATTGATGCGGCGAGTTCTCTCCTCCAGCCTGGTCTGGGCTACCTTCATTGGCATCTCCTTGTCCTGGATAGCCTTTCTCAACAGCTCAATATTCCTCTCCATGTCGAAGATCTCTTGTAGAGTCTGTAACCAGATTGAATCGTTACTATTCGGATATGTTTTACCATTGAGTATTTACTTACCAACCACTGCCCCGATGTGAGTGAAACTCAACTGACAGCTAATTTTTGTTCATGTTTCTCAGGGTTGTTTACTATGATGTCGGCCGATTTTACTAATATTCAAAATCAGAAATTCTTTGTAGAAATATCATTGCCAGTTTGGTTGTGGCGTCTGAACATTGATGGTATGAACTACGGAATACATGCCCTGTCTATCATTTAGATATCAGGAAGTGAATTGCTGCTGAGCAGTTCTTACCCTCTGTAAGTGAGCCTGGAGCTTGTTCCTGGCATCAGTGGTCTGCCTAGTTCTCCCGTTGAAGGAGTTGTTGACACAGTTGAACTGGTTCCACATGTCATTGGCGCATGCACGGAGGGTGCTGTCAATTTCTCCACGTAGACGCTCTGAGGCAGCTCTCTCTTTCTGGGAACGTGCAATATTCTCTTGTGTGTACCTCACCCAGGAGTCGGGGATGGTGATGCTGAAACCCAACGTAATAAATACTTTGTCATAAGAGACAATGAGTTACAAAATAGTTATGAATGTACTATGGTAAGAAGCAAAAATGCTCTTTTCTTGGGATCAGCAACACAACATGTCATTAAATATCATTGCAATAGTGGAACATTTGCGAATAATCGCGCAGAAGAAATACAGAAGTTAGGGTGTATAACACGTTGAATTATATCGAAAGGGACCTGACATTTGATATTTATTTTGGAAGATACTATCATATAATGGGACTCACGTGTTATCGATGGACTCAATGCCTGGGTGGTATCCGATACCAGCGGAGGCATTTCTCAGCTGCTGCATACGGTCATCAAGACCTTGAGCATGGTGCTTGTCCTTAGCGTCAATCTCCAGAGTGTGCTGAGCAGCACGGTTCATCCTAGAAACGAATAGAATAGGTTTTAATTATTTATTTTAGTTTTATTATATTTTATGTCATTCTATAATATTGATTTGATTAATTCAACTTGTTTGCACCGTCTTTAGCTTATGTTTAAAGAGATAAATGGTAAATTGGAAGGATTGCACAAAAGACAAACAAGTGACGATTGCCTTTTCATACGAAATGTTCAATACATATCTTAGGCTTAGACAGAATTTATTTACTGATTAGGAGACTGCTAGGATAACACTAACAGTAAGTGAAGCATGAACCCATTACGTTATTTCAATACACATAGTGACTTAAACATATTTCAAATACTTACTTTAGCTGGACGTAAGCCTTGTCCAAAACCTTCTTCATCTTAGCCTGACATTTCTTGATGACGTCAACTTCCTGTTGTAGAATCAAAGCAGTAATTACTAACTAGTCAAAATATATTAAACATTAGTAGTATTTTCAATCATTTATGAACATAGTAAGGTATACTAATAAGTAATCTGCGGTAATGGACTTGAAAATGTCAAATGAGAAATTTAGTCATGTCCCTTATATCGTCGTCAGATCTATCATGGATAATGATTTTAATTGCTTAGGGTATTTATACATTATCTCTGCAATGACAGCTTTTTATACTAAGAAATTAAAGATATCTACACATACACATCATAATGGTATGTTTGGTGTACATCACAATTTTGTCCAGTACATACCCTGATCAGCTGCTTCTCGACGTCATCGTGGACGAGGTCGATTCCCTGTCTTTTCTCTCTGTGCATGAGACACTCCTCTGAGATGTGAAGTGGATTGGCAGTGTCTGCGAGAGCCTTCTCCAGGGTACGGCGATACTCCTACAAACAAGCAATACAGCTTTGGTACATTTGACAGTACTGGCTACACAAAAGGGACTATAGGGAAAAGGATGGCCAGAAAGGCTAGATAGAATCTGTGACTAAAACAGCAAAATCAAGGAACAGATGAAGGATTTGTTGGACAGTCAAAGATAAATATTTCAAGGACAGACAAGGTTTACTGGAAGTCAACGTTATCTTCAAATATAGATACAGAAATCCGAAGCAATCAAAAACGGATAGAAAGAAAATAATGAAAGCCTGAATCTTCAGTAGGATATAGAAAAGTTGTATACTTTTTAAACAATATGTTCAATAAGATTTTCTCAAATTTAAAAAAGAGGAGATGCAATTCTGCAATGTTTAAGTCTACATTTGATTATGATGCTGATATTCAGCTTACTAGGGATGCGGAACAACCTCTTTATACACTAATCAGTGCCTGGCCTGTTTACAATAAAATATGACATAATACTAATTTGTTAATGGAGGTTAAACAATTATTAAACAGGAAACAAATAATACATTAAATTTAAAACACGAAATAAACAGTTAGTGGTCTATTAATTAACTATTTGATACACTTGATTTTTGTTTCAGAGCTGTGATAAGACTACGTAAAGAGATGTAACATTTGACAATGCTGTCTTACAGTTGTAAGATTGGACAATGCTGTCTTACACTTGGAAGATTGGACAATGCTGTCGTACAGTTGTAAAATTGGACAATGCTGTCTTACATTTGGAAGATTGGACAATGATGTCCTACAGTTGTAAGATTGGACAATGCTGTCTTACAGTTGTAAGTTTGGACAATGCTGTGTTACAGTTGTAAGATTGCACAATGCTGTCGTACAGTTGTAAGATTGGACAATGCTGTCTTACAGTTGTAAGTTTGGACAATTCTGTCTTACAGTTGTAAGATTAGACAATGCTGTCTTACAGTTTTAAGATTGGACAATGCTGTCTTACAGTTGTAAGATTGGACAATGCTGTCTTACAGTTGTAAGATTGGACAATGCTGTCTTGCAGTTGTAAGATTGCACTTACAGTTGTAAGATTGGACGATGCTGTTTTACAGTTATAAGATTGCACTTACAGTTGTAAGATTGGACGATGCTGTCTTACAGCTGTAAGATTGGACGATGCTGTTAGAATATTTTTTCTTTGGCTTCATATTTGACGCAATTTGATGAAAACAGTTGTATTTATCAAGTGTGGTTCTACCATAAGCACTTTAAATGAAATCATATTCATTTTTTTCGACCATTTAGTGTAAAAAATCAAAACAGAAACAAAAATGAAAAAACAAAAAAAAAAAAAAAAAAAAAAAAAAAAAAATAAATAAAAAAATAAACATGGCTCTGATTTTCGCGACTTATGCAAATGGCATTTTTTACGAGGGAGTCATAAAATCGACAGTTGTTTATTTTATCAGTTTTATTTTCGAGGTATCTATCTTTCGCGGTTTTATTTACTCATATGAAATAGGAAAACATAAAACTCCGAAATAGAAAACTTGTGTGGTCTACACTACGTGAAGATAAGGCACGAAAGCTTTATTGTAATATAACTGGATTTGAAATTTTTCAAATAAAACAGAACTGTTTCCGCGTTACCGTATGTATCTATTTTCAGTTTTGGTTGCATAAAGATTAGGAGAATTGTTTTTTCAACGTTCAAATAGACTCTTCAGAATCCTTTGCTCATTTAAGGTTTGGCAAAACTGTTCGCTTAATATAACATACACTTCAAGCGTCAATAAGATGGTTTTTATATTTCTGAGCAAAGGAACTTCTGGGTTACTTCTCTTTGGTGTGTTCACTTGTTTAGTGGGGTGATGAATTTTATGAAAAATACGTCTACTTTTTATTTTTATAAAAAGTAAGTGTTTATGTTCAAGTAATGATCGTTGTTTTACACCGCATGTTATCTCGTTCTTTACCCAACATGGATCCACTGTCCCTGTATATGAACTAGCATTACCACTGTCTCTCAGGCAATGCTACTTCTTAACAGACTCTCTTTAAGGCAATTAGCATTCAGTTTGTTTAAATGCATATTTAATGAATACATCTAAACAGATTGCGTTTAAAACCCATATGGCGATGGGAAAATGAAATATGAAACAGGAATATGTAGTTTTTATGTTTATGTAGGAATACATATAATATTGACTTCATGTTGCAAAAATTCATACTTGATTTACTTGAAACGCGTCTGAAATAGTAATAAATATTCCCACGTTTTGTTTTTATTTGAATTTGAAAGTGAAAAAAGGAAACTATTTTCAGACTATGGAAATTTGTAGCTAGTTGTTAGTTACCTTGAGATTGCTGGTCTCGTTTGCCATGGCGTTTATCTCATTGTTAAGTTCGCTTTTCCAGAAAGCAATGTCATAGACTCTTTCACCTGAGGAAAGAAAGTAAGCGCCCAAAAATGCAAACTGTTATTTTGCTCCACGTTTGACCATTGACCAGTTATTCAAGTTTGTGGCGTTTTCATTATCAGCTAATGCCAAAATTATCATCGTGAATATTTTGTTTGCTTTCTTTTCATTTTACCCTGTTGATAACTTTTAAAACACCAAATTTGAATAACTGGGTTCATTAATTTATTAGGATGATAAAAAACACACAACAAAATATTAATACATATTATTTTCCTTTTCTATCACAGGCAATCGCATGCAACCCAAGTTGATTAGCTACGTCACATAAAGCAATCGAACCAAGGTACCTTCAGATTTTGCGTTTCATTTGCAACTACCCCTATTTCCATGTTGATTTCGCTCTTCAAGAAAGCGATGTCTGTAACTCTCTCACCTGAAAATTGGGATTCAAAATATACGAAAGGAATGGAAATATGTGAAATCGCCTTGGCTCGGTATCATTTCGGTTTTTACAGTTTCAAATGTTTCTCGGTTCAAAATATGCTAAACGAATACTATGCAAATATAACAAATGATCAACTGAAATAATTCAAACAGGTTAAAAATGAGAATATCTGGTAGTCCCCAAGTCTATGCTACTTGTAGCCTACCACTATGTCGGATTGCATCATTATCATGAGGAGTGCCTTATAACGTCAAAATTACTCTATATTGTGGGGTGTTATTGTATGGCATTGTATACAGTTGCAAGGCAAAGCCATATATATATCATTTGATGTTCCTATCTTTTTTTTTCATTCCATTGTGTCCTTTTTCATTTTATCTTGCAAAATGAAAAAAGTACCAGAAAGATAGTTTATGTCATTTGAAAGTTTATAATGTGCTTAATCATTTTCGCATTACAATTTTTTCACTGTGTTTGAAAAATATGAAAAATACTTAAAAATATTATCTATATAATGTTGTTCTAGATAATATCTAAATATGACATATACTTCGTCATCTATCGATTCGAAAAAATGTTTGCCTCATATGCTATACCAACATGACCTGCATCGCCCGTGATGACGCTGCACTTACCCAATGCGCTCGCAACACTTACCTAACTTCTTTGTGATATCGTTCTGCCTGTTCCGAGTGCGGGCGTCCGTCTCTTTGACGGCCCTCCAGGCGTCAGCTCTAAGACGCTCGGCGAAGGAACGTTCCTTGTCGGACATGGAAAAGTTCTTACTGTTTGACAACCCCCAGTCGTTGGTGGTGTAGCGAGAGTAAAGGGCATTCCTAAAGGGTCACAAATCATAGTAATATATATAAACATAAATAGCACAGAAAAAGACTTGGAAATTCGTTGTTATATATGTCAGGGAAAGAGAAAAAAAGAGAAAGATACGAATAAGGCTGACTAGAGAGAGGTTTCCAGAACGACCATTATAATTATGTAGTAAAATCTTTTTACCTGGCTGGGTTGTAGTAAGTGGCAGCATGTCCGAGGTCCAAAGATTTACCGGCGTATCCAAGGTGACGGGAGACTGTCTTGTCAGTGACATATGGCAAAAGTTTTGTCATTTCTGCTCCCGGCGTGACACTGCGCGTGCGCGTAATAGCGCCATGATCGTAGTAGTTACTTAATCTGCAAGAGAAATGGAAAATCTCAATAAAATGGGAAAATCCCACAACATAGTTAAAGCAACAGTATGGTAAAACAGCTTTCACTGAAATAAAAAAATATTTCCGGATCAATAATTTTTTTTAATGTTATTACTATTATTTGTTTTTTTTCGAAAGCTGTTTAGTATCCCTGAACACGTTCATTTAGTACTAAACTTAAATATGTTTGTAAACTCACAAACAACTGCCTAATACTTATCTGATATATCGTTATAGATGGTGACGATGTTTAATTTACTTTGAGATCTGTGTAAATCACAATAACATTAAAATTTGCTCTAGGCAAAGGCTTACGTCCATGTTCAACTCAAGTATCGCTTAAATTTCCCTTTCAATTAAAATATATGTTGAACAAACACGTCTTTAAGGAATTCTGTCAGTTTGTTTGACCAAAGAGTGTTTAAACAAACACTATTGACTGGCCTGCTTAACCACTTAAGGCAATCACGAATCCTTTCGTTTTAGGATTTACCTCGAGATATAAAGAAGTGACAGGTTTACAATCCGGAACGTACACTCTACATTGTAAACGTAAATCAACTGGTAAGTAAAATTAACGCCTAAAACGGTCCTCCAGACTTCAATTGTCCAATAGTACTTCTAAACATCGGAATCCTTAGTGTCATGTTTTGACCAGAAAGTAGACACAGTTTACACTTCACTACATTTAATAGAAGATGTCTTCAAAACCTGTATTGACAATTATATATATATATATATATATATATATATATATATATTAACCTAATCATGATGGTGAAAATATCATAAATAATGTGGCATTTTATCTAGGGATAAATGTTTTAAAGAAAAAAACCACTGATATTTATTATTTGTTGAAGTGAAGTGAAATTACAAAGTCTTGATTGTAAAATATTACTCTTTCATGGTAAAATGTCTGAGCTAAATGGAACTTAAAGGAATTTCAAAAGTTTCATGGTACACTGTCGGTATCTTATGGAATTATTAGTGTTTATGGTATAATGTTCATGTCTTTTTGTAAAATGTTGAAATGTCACTTGGTCTTGTTGTTGAAACAACTGAGATTCTTTCTTCTGTCATATAATCATTTTAAAATTGTGTTAATATGAAAATGTCTGCTTGTTTGATAAAATTAAACAGTTATGTTAATTGATAAACACTACAACACCGTTGTGAGTTGTATTAACACTGTATTTAACACATATACTTTTGAACATTATACTAAGTTAACAACACTAACGACAGTTTACATTTGTGTATACTTTACGGAGATGTGATAAATGAGTTTTCAATGTAGTTTCTTGTTGCAAAGCAAACAAAGTTTTAATTGAAAGCGCCGTCACTCTTGGCCTTTAATTCCAAACTTGCTTTGTATTGCCTAGCTACCATGCTGGAATGGAATTACGTTTCTTCTTCAATGTCAGATCCGAAATTTAAAAGTGTCGACAGTTGCCTGAAAACAATGTCATATTTTGCAATCCTTCAATCTGTCATTCTTGTTTAAGTGTGCTTTGTGTTTGTATACGTTTTACTTGACAGCCCAAATTGCAACTGTAGTAGATTACTGCAAAATTCATCAAATGTTGATTGCCCATTTATATTTCAAGAATAAGTTTACATTTTCTTCCCCTATTTCATCATTGTACTGATAAACTTCATGTGTAATCTCAAATACCATGAGAGAAAATAAAAATTCTACCAATGTACATTGTTTATTTGATCTCAATGTCATAATTGAAATTGTCATAGGAAAGTAGGCGACAATACACGTTTAGTGCATGATTATAGATATAGCTAGATTCTAGGTATAGCTAGGTCTGTCGTGATAGTTATATAGTTACAAAGTATTGGTCGGCATATATCTCGTTACGGGTTTTAAGCAACGCGGGATATCTATATTACAGTGATGATAAACTTGTTGTGTCAACTATTGCCTTACTACATCAGAGGGGTCGAAATGTATAAAGGAAACATTGCCAAATGTTCTTATCCAAAGAATGAAATCATGACTATTTTGCTATGTGCAATGACAATTTGTTATATGGTGTTAAAGAACACCCGCATAGCAGTAGAATTATGGGTATTTAGAGCTATAGAATATACGATAATTAGACGGCTGATTAAATGCACTGTATATCATAGATAAGGATAAAAGAGGGTATAAGGGTCATAACTGACAAACTATCGTCACGGGTCATCTGTTTAACAGTAAATACAGCGGTCAGTTAGAAGGATAGCGTACAACGAGACGTACTTTTGTGATCAGGTATATCAGGCATTACTGTAAAAAGAAACATGCTTAACTAGTTATTTATTACCAATATTAATCAATGTATCGACTTTTAAGCTGTTGTTTCTATATAGTACAATACAGAGAAATAGACCATTAGATATCGATCTGTCTGTGTGTATATGGATTTCTCTTTCAAAAAACAAACCTTGAAATTAGATACGAAACAAGATACTCTTACTTATTTAAATAATATATAGGGGTAAGTTAATGAAAATGCCAGCTGAGACAATGTTTCAGTCATGTGCATCGAATACACACATAAAGTACTAATTTATTGGATGCCTTCCGTACCACAAGCATTTTAAAATAGGTACATATTGATTATTGTACTTAGGTTGATAACTATAAATATGAATGATGGTAATTAGGCGTACATATGAAATACTCTCATCAGTCACAGGGGTCGTTTAGTATCTGAGTGATTGTGTTTCAGCATTTACATAGAATCTAGTCATGATCATGATAAGGTTGAAACTGAACATAAATTCATGTAAACGATGATTAGGGAAAATATCGAGTTGAAGCTCTTTAAATATTTTCATAGCTAATATTATCTCTGAATGATTATAATTTAAACATAATTTGCCCGACGAGTATTGTTCTTGTTTTCACCATCACACAAATAACACGATGAAGTATTTATTGATCAAACATGTTTTCGATGCAAATGTCATTTAAAGTTAAACTTATTATCATAGGGATCCTTTTCAATTATATAAATAAAACTCTTTTCAATTTTTGTAGCAAACAACTGAGCTCAATGATATATCACTTTTCATGCTCCAATTAACTGAAACATTCATAGATAATATTTTAATAATTGATGTTGGTTATTGTCACTCTCTATGCAGAGTAAAATCATCTGTCAGGATGGCATGTTGATATGAGGGTCAAAGCTGGTTGTTTTTTGCGTTGTTCCATGGTGAAAAGCTATATACCAGAAACAATGACTCTGATCTAACGGTGGACGCAATTTTCGTTTGAAGTCTTTTATAATGATACTATTACTTTCATAATCACATATATCATACAGTGTATGCATCACACACCTTAAAGCTGCCGTACTGTTGTTTCGTTCAACAGACCATATGGAATATGATATATATGGTAGTTCTTTTCTATTTATCTCAAATATTTTGACACTTAATATAGGGTGATGACACTTAGTTGTCATAAATGTGTTTGCCTTTTGAAACATACCACAAGACACAACTGAAAGGACTTTTCTTTCATTTGTATTGTAAGAATGAATATATTTTGAGCTCATAATATTCCTCTCAGCCGGATGATAAAAAGACAGCATGATGTATAGGGTTCAACAAACATTAAGATATAGATACGACACAATGGAATTATGATTTATCGAGTTTTCAATGCGCTTTAGAATTCTTCAAACATGTTAGCTTTTAACTAAAACGCTCAAAGTGTTGAAACTGTTGAAACTCTTTTCGAGTTTTTATAATCTCTTTTCATGTTAAGACGAACTAGGACTTTTTGATCTTGAGGCGTATATATATATATATATATATTATATTTTCCAGTCCTTTGAATGTTTATGTTATCGTTCTCTTTCCATTTGAATGAAAAAAGACCACATGGAGTAACAATGAAAAGGAATTTTAGAGTACATAATGATAAACCAAAATATTTGAACTTGTCAAAGGAAGAAAAATTATGCCAAGTCTACTACAATTTTTTTTTCATCTATATTTGTCACAAATTGTTGGTTATACAAATAATATACAAAATAATCGAATGTTTGTACTTACCGGCTCATTGTTCTCTGTGTTGTACACTTTAGATTTGATCCCAATGATATATTGTCGTTAAACAGTAGAGCGGTTTACGGTAGACCGTTGTTACTATAGAGATGTACCTAGCAACTTGTCACGTGCTACTCCTCACCATCCACAAGGCCTACAAAGTAAAAACCACGTTGTATATCTAATAGATGTATTGAATTATGAATTACATATGGAGATACTGCCGCTCCAACCTACTGTTCGTACACTGAATGCCATCTAATGTTACTGTGCAAACACAGTCGTTAGTTACGAGGGTTTAGACTTAATGCTTGCTAAGTCTAAGACGACTTTAGTTTGGTTGTGTATATCAATGCATTTGTGATTATTGTTTGAACAATCCTCTAAAGGGAAAGCGCGATAGCATGACGTAAAGTACTGTGGAGGATTTGTTAGCTGTTCGAAGGTGTATTGGGTAGTTTTAATCGTTTTAATTGTGCAAACTGTATTTGGTGGTGGTAAAAGCTACCTGCGGGTGGCGGAAAGAAGCATTCGGGCGATCACAATTGGTCCAGTTTGGGGAAGACTCCCATAGTTTAAGTGCTTGAACCAATTTGTAACATTTTTATTATATTAATGTATTGTTATGATTCAGTTAATGGCAAATATTGAATTAATTTTTTTGTAATCGAGATATCATAACACATTTATAAGTCACTTTATTACAGAGTGTCCTAGTAACAATAGGTGTTATTAACATTGTAGGTTGAAGCTTTGTTGAGTACGTCTCAAGTGTGTGAGGTAAATATTTCCTTGTTGACATGAGCAAACAGCAAACAGAAATAGAAATAACGATGAACACTATGGCAAGAAAATTGAAAATGGTACGTGATGTAGACTTAACCACAAACAATATGACAATACTGGCAAATAATGCTATGAAAATAGTTAATATATTGATTATGAATATTTTTTGCCATTTACTGGTCATATATGATATCACTTTTGATTAAAAATATTCAATAAAAATCTGATTCCCAATTTCTGTTTCATTGCCAAACAATTTGCCAAATTTTATGCACAGAAATGTATAGATATATAATTTATGTACATCGAATTATACAGTCCATATCACTGAAGGAATTGGCCACAAAAGAAAAAGGTCAACATGTTTGTATTATAGACGGTGAAAAATCTTGTTAACATACAAATCTAATATCTTCCAAGAAACTAGATAAATGAAGATACAGTATGTGTCCTTTGACGTAATATCGATCAATGTCTGTAATGAATTTAACTTCTTTGAAAATGGTCATTTACAACCACAAGTATGTAACTGTAATCCGAGCAAAGACGGAAAAACAGTCTTGAAGGCAGTGTCCTGGTTATCAAACAAATGTCACATATCATCTTCAGTCACAAGTTAATACCAACCACACAAGGAACCAATGCACATACAATCAGCAACATGGAGAATGTTTTGAACATAAGAGGCAGTTTAACATGGGTCTTCACAAAACATGAATTAGCCTTTACCTACATAGTTCTGTTAGAGATAATGTCGTGATCAGAATACATCTACAATTGACGATAAGCAGATATTTTTAGATATATGAAGATTACCAAATTTATTGAATTAATGCGCCGGTGAATCTCCCCATCTTGATTTCGATCGATAGATCATTTTGGATTTCCCGTAGTCACCTCAAAGACTTCAAAGCTTATGCCCTTAGCGTCACTAACAAGTCCTAGAACGACGAAACAACTGTATCATACAGTTTGTTTCACGTTTGACCTCTTCTGTTTCTAATTCAAGATTTGTACAAAAAGGTGGTATTCATGTTTGTGTCTTTTGTACAATTTTAGTACTCTTACGCTCTTTCACTAGTCAACATCAACAATGAACAATGTACGAATAACAAGCTTTGAGTGCTCTGTGTCCTGTGGTACAGTTTGCTGCTATTCACAAGGATTGGTGAAAAAAACTACGATAGTTTATTGTATATTAAAAATACAGAATAACACAACATTGTTTACAGTCATGCCTAAATTTGGATATAAGCTAATGGAGCGAATAACATTTGGGAAGGTAAAGTATGTAGAGTTAAAGGGACGTGACTTCATATGTAAGGTCTACCCGAGTACATGTCAGTTACCCCTGATTTAGAGTACATTACTGGTAGGGGATATTTCCTGTACCAACGTTAATAAAAGTTTAAATGCGGGTCTGACGTACAGGGGGTCTGTTCTGTGGTATATGGCATAGATCTGACTGACAGGGGGTCAGTGCTAAAGTACATATCTGTCATTAACGAAAGAGTGACAGAAAGCCTGGTAGAATTAGGATGGTTATACAACCCTGAGAAACAGATCGGTTTAGAAACAAATAAGGTGTTGGGATTCTAGGTACAAATTGTACTTGTAACTGACAAAAAATAGTTCTTAAACATGGTTTTGAAATAGTCTGATAATTTCAAGTATTGGTAATCATGTAGTACAAAAATGTCAGGGCCTTTCTACAATGTACATACAAGACAGAACAGTTCCAAAGGAACCCATCATTGAGTTGTCTGAAATTACCTACTATCGTCCTTTATGGTATTTTTTCATAGCAATACAGTATGTAGAGTGACAAAAATAAGCAAAGATCTCCACGCACTGACACTTGCATTAATTCAACAGCACATTAACAGAAAGGAAAGAGAGAGTAAGAAAGAGGATATATAGAATGGATATATTTATGGACATTGCAAACATTCTTAAAATATCGTAATAATGATGTTAAATTCTAATCATATATTTTCTTCTCGTCATCAAAGTAAAAGGGTTTTTTTCAATTTCTGGGACATTCAATATTTATTATTAATATCGTTAAATTAATAAGATTTCATTAACATGGTATGTAATTTAGCAATTTTCTCTTTACTCGACAGTCGATCAATACATCATACAATAGCTTTGACAGGCCAACTAGGGGAGCGTGACAGAGGTAATTATGAAGAGGAAATTTGATCGCAGTCTAAATATTTAAAATTATTTAGGAGCAGCATAATATACTTCTAGCATGTTTCGGTATTGAAATAAATAAAGGGGTATTTACACCCGGCCATGGTCGTCGTTTAGCTATTAGGAGGTCTGATAACCGTAATGCACAATAATAACAGTGTAGAGTAGTTAAGATAGGGTTAAGATCATGCACAAGACCATTTACGAGTTAGAGTCCATTTAGAATAGAAAGCTTGTTTTGGTCTATATTTATGAAAGTTATTTGCTTGAACATACGTTAGTATATACTGGTATCTAGTTTAAGGAACGCAGTTGAACTACATCATGACAAAACCTAACATCTGAATATTTTGTCCTTCCTAAACCTTCTTTAAATATTAAAACGTGGAACAAATTGACAAAACATTAAAGTTAATGTCAGTAGTTCAGCTACTTCTCTACGCGTTAATCATCACTTCTATATCGTTTTAACTTTAAGTTTGCAAAACCTATGATGACATAGGTTATTCAATATTGATAACACTGAACAGGATAGCTAGTGTACGTAATAAACCAGGCAATCCTTTATCAAGGACAACTAGTTATACCTATTCATGGGTGACGTTCAAGAGAAAAGAGTCATTGTTTTACTGAGACTCATGCCAAATTGATTTGTCTGAAATCCCGAGAGAACACTGAAACTTTAATATATTAAAAACAAAAATAGAATGAGACTTTGCGTGGTAAACGATTTAACTAGTTCTAATTATTCTACATTATTCATATTTTATTTTTATGTACAATTATATGGACATATATCTATAGTACGATTCATCGTTTTGTAGAACACCCAATAAATGTCGGTTTTATAGTATAGTATATCACTTCCTTGCACGTTAGAACCACATAACACAGTGTTTACAACCCGTACGTATCGATCATACGTCCAAAACCTGTTATTTCATGGGATCAACGTTATGGTAAAAAGAGCATTTGTTATTTCTATGGTTACTACTGTTGAAAACGTCCATATTTTCATTCCACTCGGCTGTAATAATAACAGATTTTTTGTTCATGAATAATAGCTGTCTTAACAAACTAGAATTCCTTAAGGTGGAAAAGACACATCAAAGTCAATCACGTAACGAATTCTGTACAATATTTTGATAAACTGTCTGATAACAGGTAAAAAGGAGCAGGTTGGTCTTTAACGTTTAAGGTAGAATCCATGATAAATTTTTAAGCCAATATCTGTAAATGAGTAACCATGTAAATCCATTTGAACAAGAGCACGGCACCAATATCAATGTTGTAAAGGTAATTCTGCCATGACATGTGACGTGAAAATGATATGACACAATTACGTTTATCATTAAAGTGATAAATAAAATTAGGTCAAAATATTAAAAAAAAAAGTTTCTTATGTTTAGCTTGGCTTTGTATATCAATAGGTTAGCTGGTGTTTATTTATTCAACAGGGTTGTAGTACACCTTTACACGCAATATTGATCATTCAAAATCATTAGCAGGTATCAGAACGGGTCGACGTGATCGAAAATAAGCTGGCCTGAAATAAGCCATCATGAGATGAACGATGATGACTATGATTATCCACCTCATAACAAACCTGATTTGACTTTAAAATTGTATGTCTGTAATATTATTTCAAATCAAATCTAAGTTTTTTTTACCAAAATTGAAATAAAACTATATTTTAAAATAACTAAAAGTACTATTATTTCCAAAACCTGGTTACCAAGTCGCAGTATGAAATTGGCCTTCAGTTCATGAACATATGTTAACAAGCCATTTTAATCCTTTAAGCTAAAAAGCGTAAATCCAGTTCGAAGTGCAGACTGCATAAAACGTCTACGTGTATATATTGCAATTTGCATGACCCAACGCGCGTTGTTATACTACCTTGGACGCGGGTGTCGACACTTGAAGCTATTGGGTGGGGATTGTATCGTTGCGCCTAGAAACCGCTAACGAAAACGGTCATTCACTTTTGACAAGCGTGTTGAACGAATAGACTAACTTTGGGTCTGTTTAGTTGTCTGGGTGAAGCAGATTTATATCGGTCGATCAAATCAACCTACCGTTATTCTTCTGTCAATACATTATCTATTCATTACATTTCTTGCTTTGTTCTGGTCC